TCTTTAACGAGCTTTTTCAAAATTGCTTAAATATTATTATTTTTTGAGTTATTAACGAAAAACTAAATACCATTTTTTTCAATCTAATTTTGTTAATAACAATTGCAATTTTTTACCTGCACCAAAATCCTTCAAAAACATTTTCTAGAGATGATTCCGAACCGAATGATCTATAGCTCATATTTTTAGGACCTTTATCTCTACTTTTTATATTTTTGAACTTGTTGATTAGACTGATTGAGATACTTTCACGGGAGGTGCTCAAGTGACTTGGCACATTTGGCACTGATCATATCAGAAATACGCGACGGACTGTGGCTGCTCATCGTTTTGAGGTTCAACTCAGTACACTTGGAACTCCACTGTTCAAGAATTCTTTCATTCAGAGAACTGCGTTTATGTGGAATAAACTTCCTGAGAACGTTTTCCAATGGATTTGATTTTCAGCGATTCAAATCCAATGAGAATCACTACTTTCGCACAAACACCGCTCTAAGAGTGCCTTTAGGAATTTCAATGTTTCGTATGATGGCTGTCCCCAGACGGCTTCTCAGTGCCATTAGTAAAAATATTGTTTCGGAAGTTTGTATCCTGTTTTTCACATTCAATATGAGTCACTTTCATATCTTATCGGCTTCTTCCAACGGATTTTTCTGCTCCTATCATATCGCTTTCGTTAAGCACATGTTTGGCACTTCTTATTCCTATCCAAAATATGTAACACAGTACCTACAGTTATTTAAATTTATTACAAATACTACCTTTACAATCAAACCGAATGTCTCATCACCACATACTAAGGATAGCTTACTATACCCATTTCCATGTTTGAAATAATGGTCGTATACAGGGTGTAACAAAAAGGTAGATCATAAATAGATCCATATATTCTGGGGTCAAAAATAACTCGATGCATATAACTTACCTTGATGCAAATGTGCACACATAAACAGTTACACGTACTTGGAAAGTACAAAATGAAAATCGATTTTTTCCAATATTCCATGAACTGTTTAAAATTTTGTGATGAAAATGGAGCCATGACTTTCTTATCGTAAGAGCTTCATTTTCATATAGAGCCACAGCCTATAAAAAATTTAGGGGGTATTGAACCCCCTAAAACCCCCAAACTTATCTATGCGTTGAAATTAAATCAATATTGTAACACCATTGGTTAAATACATCATTTTTGAAGTTCTTTATCTGGTAGCACTTTTTCATAATCCTTTCAAAATTCATTAGTTGGCTGTTCAACACTTGTGGATAAATAACAAACAGTTGCTTCAACAATTACATACTGTCATTTTACGACTGTGAAGAATTTTCTGTTACAATGGTTTATATGTTTGCAGAAATGGCAAAAATGCCATTTAATTATGGATAAGTTTAGTTAGGCTAAAACAAGGTATCAGATAATTAAAAAACTTCCACAACAAAAGTGTAAGGTGTATATACAAGTTGAACTAAAAGGAGCCTTCAGTCAACTTGTATAAATCAAAAAAACTATTAGATATTTCTCATAATCAAAAGTTTATAAAATGCTTTGAACTATTTTCATAAGTCCTCCTATTGAATTACCTACTAAAACAATATGACTGACACTCACCAAATATTAATTTGAGAAAACTAGTTGTACCACACAAACGTTCATAATAAAATTTGGACGGTTTTTTAACATTGATAACGCATTGAATGCCAGATAAGATATAAATCCATAAATAAAGGATTCATCAACACAGGATCATATATTAAAATGTGAGATGAATAAATATAGAAAGAAGGTAGCGGTCGATAATATTGTATTTTTGTATGTGTTTTTAATGAGCAATCAAAGGCACAGTGAAATGCTTCACTTTACTCCCTACATAAATAATAGATTTAGAAAAATAAAGACTTGGATAATGTAGCCTACAGAACAAACATTATTTATGTTACCAATAATAGTAAAATGAAAATGGGAGAAATAAGCTCACTTGTTGTTCTTGAATATTTTCTAAAAGGGTTAAATAAAAGTAAATTGCTGGATGCAAATACCAAATGAATGTTTGTCGTCATGACTATGCAGTTATTATATATTTGCCAGAGAAAGACGTTTGTTTGGAACTTTAATGAAGGTTCTAAATTTCAGAACCACTGTACAAAAACCAATTACCTAAATGGGCTGATCCTTCTTTGGTGAATGTTTTCCAAAAATGAAAATTTAATTTCTTATGATTCATTTGAATTAGTTTCATCATAAATGATCAATAATTAAGTAGGTATAGTATATACGAAGTCAAATCGAATGGCAAAAAAACTAAATATTTACCGAACGCCGGCAGCTTTTTTTATGCCATGGATGGCGTGATATAATTCGAGGTCTAATCATTATTTTCATGTGGGAGGTTTTACATGGTATCAACTAGTAATTTCATAAGACCCGGTTAGGTTTGGTCCAAAGTAAGTGCGTCTGTTGCACTCTACATTAAGTTGATTTATGCAATTGGCAAAGTGCAGAAGTCTATATGAAGTCCATCTAGTCTCTCTCTCCAGAAAAATGTGGAGAGGAGGTAGCTCTAGAAGGATCTCCATGGCCGCTGACAGTGTGGTACTGATGGCCAGACAAGCCTGTCTCTGTATAAGCAAGAGAGCTTCGCCTGGGCCGTTTTAAGTAAAGCATTCGGCTACCAGGCAATTGCACCACACGTGATTATTGGTCTGATAATTTTCACATTAATTCAATGGATTTGTTTGGGACCTAAACCCCAAAATTTACCACAAAGCCTTCGACATGTGCATAGGGACAGCTTGGCGTTTCCTCCGCTCCAAATGGAATGACCTCACCATTGAGGGAAGGTGGCGTTAGATCGTAAAATTTTCTCCTCCTGGTGAAAGGGATTATCACGGTTTTGTTGGGGTTGACAGATATCTGCTCCCTCTCTGTGAACGTCTATCGTGCTTTGGAAAATATCACAAGCTACCCTTCCCGGCGTGGACCTTGTCAAGATGATAATGTCATTACCATGTCAACGGTCATGGCAATTTATTTTTGTAGGTGAATTTATATATCCTTCAACATTGGTAGATTTCCAACTACCGTGTCTATTCAAATTTCTGATGTTTTCACCATTATCAGCAAATAACATCGCTGCTATGGCCTGTGTAATTTTGAAGATTGAGTGAATTTAAAAATTCACAAAACTGTGGATACCAATAGGCCGAATCGAATATTTTCTTTTTATTTCAATTTACGAGTAATCTGTTATGTGGAGTATGAGATGGCCGTAAAGATAAATATTGCCTATACAACAACAGTTTTTCTTTCATTCAATATGTGTTTCGGAATTCGGTTTTTCCACAAGTATCATGTCTTCGATATCTCTAACAATGACTCCGGCCATGAAAGCCTTTGTTCTTAAAATAAGCTTTATTTTTATCAGTATTTTGGAACGTCATTTGTCACTGTTATGTTCACAACGGAACTTTTCGTTTTCAACTCTCATTACACATTCTTTTTCTTGGTGATTCGTATCTGGGTCCATCATAATTCAATAATCGTATCTGTGAGTATTATTATTTGAACAGCGATATTGTCATTAACATTGTTCGATAGCACTGGAAGCTAAGGCCATACAACCGATAGTTTTCTTCTCTTTTACGTTCATTGGCATTAGCTACCGGAGCTATATGGACCGGGTATTATCGTAGTTTACAGTCGTTTCCACAGAACTCAAAATTTTATGTTACGACTAGAACTCGTTTAAAATATGTCAGATGAACAAATCCATTCACAGTGACAGCACATAACTCAATTTGCGGAGCGGCTCGTCCTCTATATTACTAAATACTACATCTGTACTGGATGACCACAGTTTAAAGTATAAAACAAGGAAAATAAATTTGATAGAATCGGCCGATACTTGATGAAAATCTATGTTTTTAAAAAAGAAACTTCATTGTGAGATTTTCACTAAACAGTTAAGAAAAAAGAGGCGGCAGTGCACTAATGGAGACGATAAATTATAGAATGTATTGTATCGTATCAGTAACTTGAATCTCTTCTATGGGTATTTTTACAGATTTAATGAAGATAAAAAGACAGGAATGAAGATTGTATATAATTATTTAGAGCAGGCAGATATACATAATCGTAAAACAAAATGGAAGAGCATACCATTTCAATGCCGAAACTTACCATTTTTTTTCTTTATAATAAATATGCTTATTGGTTAAGAATGTACAATAATGATGGCTCGTCCACAAAAGATGTGTAATTTTCTAATTTTAAGCATGCTGACTGAAATATGAAATTATACGAATGTTCCCCTGAACTAAACTATGTTATGGAAAATATTCTATATTTTAAAATAAAAATTAGAATATGTGTAACTCATTATGTTTTTCATAATATCATTGTAAAAGAACCATTCCTTTATTTTTCATTCATTTTCAGTTGTATCATTGAAATCAATTTTCCTATGATTGAATAAAATATAACACTGGAATATAATTTGAAAAATCTAATTTTAATACATACATTTTTTAGGTTAGTTTTTCTTAGCTCAAACGATCTGTTAAGGTAAAGTGAACTCTGAACAAATATACAAAAAAAATTATTAGTTCGTCCATGGACAACTCTCCTTTTGCAAATGAAGTTATTCATCATATTCAATATAATTTGTTATAAAGTGATTGCACACAATAAATAATTTGTAGGTACAAAAATCGTCTTTTGAAAATCAGAAGCTAATAATTATGTAATAATTGTAAAAATCTTGAACATGTAATTTCTTGAAAATATATCACTTTTTGTTCTTAATAAAATGTTCGCACACTAACTCAATTATATATATTTTCATCCTAAACGATTTGATTTTTAAAACACCACAAATCTGATGAACCCATTATAAAATAATTGTATTGTGAGTGCCGATAAAAAAATGTGAGTTGTGTTCCGAAATTATTAATTAAAAAAAGGTTAATTGAAACGCCAGTTTTTTTCCCGAACTCCTAACCCTATTCTCAGCACCTAAATTATAATCCAAAAGTATCATACAATTGCCGCCATAACTATATATGTCACATCCTAAATATCACTCCAGATAATTGCTTTCCTCGACCGGTCGACACTGGCGAGATAAGACCCGAAAGGATACCAAGACGTCGCCGTTACCGCGGACCCGTGCTCTTTCAGAATGGTCTCGACTTTTGCGCTAGCCATCCCCCACACGTAAACGCTACCATCCGCCGAGCCGACCGAAATATACTGCCCATCAGGGCTGAAAGTCGCCCTTGCATAGTCGCAACCGACCTTGAAGCCATCGCACCCGAACAGAGTCACTACCTGGTTCATTCTCAAGTCGAGGAGCTTCAACGTATCGTCCCTGACACAGCAAACGAGATACTTCGAGTCCCTGGTCAAGTCCAGCGAGGTTACTTTACCATTAAGAATGACATTGTTCGTGCTCGTCTCAGATCGGATGTCCCAAAAGCGGATGCTCTTGTCGAAGTGCCCGCTGATGATTATCGAACCGGAACTGTCGACAGTGACGAGATCGTTGCAGCTGGAACCAGCGAACTTAGTTTCTATGCAGGCTCTACTCTTGAGGTCCCATATCTTCAAGGTGCGATCGTGGCTGCCCGTCACGACCTTGGAGGCCTCGCCCAGGAACTTGGCCGCCATAACCTTGCCGGAGTGCCCCGTCAAAGTGTGACGCAGCCTCTGATCCGACACGGTCCACACCCTGGTCGCATAGTCATTCGAAGCAGCCAGGATCAATGACCCGGACGAGTCAAAGTCGATCGCCATGACACCCGCGTTACTCCCGATGAGGACCCCTTTGCTCTCGCACGATCCCTTCGTAACCTCCCACAGCTTGACTTTCCTGTCCGCACCTCCGGTTGCGAGTACTTTGTCCAGAGGGCTCCACTTGACGGCGCTTACTTCCCCTTCGTGCGCATCAATCCTCGAATTTATCCTTGAAGGTAAACTCGAAGTACACACCGGACCGTAACCCTCTGTCAATTCTTCTGGGGAACTTCCCCTGCCCTCCCTGCATGCGTCCTCAATGTCCTTCTGCATCCGGGCGAACCTCTTTTTGAGGAAGTTGTCATTCTCCTCGTTCATTTTGTCGGCGTCTTTCGCCTTATATTTGATCAGACGCTCGACCATCTGGCCATTTTCCTCTTGCAGCTTGCGCAGCTTTTCTTCCACCGAGTTGAACAGCATTTGCAGGGCTTGGTGCTCATCTCTGAGTGTGTCGTTCAGGTAGTGGAGTTCGTTTTTGGATTTGTGTAGAAGAGAAACTTCCGCCTCCAGTCGGACGATGGTGGCTGTGTTTTCTGCCAGGCGGACATCCCTCGAGGCTATGGCTTTGTCCTTTTCTTGAATAGCGGCCGTTAGGTCGATGATTTGCTGGGAGTTTTCCCCTTTCCTTCTGTGCAACTCGGCGAGTTCTTCAGCCTGAGAGAGCAATTTTTGTTCTAGTTGCTGTATTCGTTCTTGGTATCTCACCTCGCTGTAATTCGAGATGGAACCCGAGCTACCCGGTCCTTCTGTCTTCAACTTCTCGATCTGGATGGACAATTGTAAGTTTTCCGAATAGAGAGTATTTAAATTCTCGAAAATTTTATTGTGCTGGACAATCAAATCCTGAAATATGTCAGTTTCTCGACGATTCCTTTTTTGCACTTGACTCACTATAGAGTTCCTCCAATCCGTGGCCATTATTACTACTATTACACACTGCCTAGCTCCACAATTTGTCTAAGTGTGCTGTCCAATTAGAGGAATCATAATTGGATCTAAAACAAATTAAAGCAAGTTACACACCTGTATTCGTTCAGAGTTTTCTCACAAAACAGTAACACAAACTCTTTTAATTATCACAATCACCATCACACTGAAAACTGCACTAAAAATAATCAGTTCCAAAAACCAAAAAAAAATTAGATTGTTTACTTAAAACTTTGTTTTTGTATCCGAATGATTAACTTTCCTGATTGAAATATGTACTGCTAGTAACTGTGGAATATCAAAAAATCTTAAGAGAGCATTACAAGAATTTTTGGTTAATTATTTTTTTATTATTTTGTTGGACAGATGAAAAATTATGACGTTTGGTAGTTGTATTTATTTCATGTGATTATGTTCACTTGAAACTCTTCTTTGAGTAGTCACGAAAAAAACTTCGTTATTCATGCATCAGATTAGATAAAATTTTGAAATGTAGTTGCTTTCTCACTCATTTACCATACAATTTGGTAGCTTGTTCACCAAACTCTTTTATCGTGTTTAGGGATAAGGATATGTTTAGGGATAGGATATGTCTCTCTAGGCATCGTTAAGTAAATTGTCAACATATTCTAGTGTAGATTCTCGTGTACTTTTCTAATTTTGAAAGAATTTTGAAGAAGCTATGGTATAGTGAAACTTGTGTTGCGTGTTTGTAAACTATTGAGAGAAAAATCTCACGTATTACTCACGTATCTCATGTATAACGAATAATGAAACAATTTTAGAAAATAACTGAATGTAATTGGCCGATATTTCATGATCTACATTAGATATTGGGATCTCGAATTATTTGATTTCCATATTTTTCAGAAGGTTGAGTAAAAACCTTTCTTCTGCAATTGAAGAATTTTGAATTCATGATTGAACTTCTTCTGTATAAAAGTGAGTAGTACGCATTGAATTCATTTTTCCATTATGCAAACTGTTTCTATGTTCTTTCATTCGTGCTTCGAATGTTCTCCCACTTTTACCTATGTAACCACACAACCATTTATAAACAGCTGACACTTTTGCGAAACTCCATACATTTTTTCATCGTCTCTTAGAACCAGACGAATTTCCTTTATGACGTTATGGAGTTTCATCAAATCAGGCCAATTCTGTCAAGAGGTCTTACCCTTTAAAGTGTGATTCCTAACTACAATATATTTATTTTCGGTCAATCTAGTATGAAGAGTTCTGATTTCTTAAACGATAAAGGTGTAAATATACCATTCAAAACCAATAAGAACTTGAGCTTATATATTGAAAATATAAAAGACAAGAGTTCAGTATTACATAGATCATAAGTTCATAAATTGCCACGTAGATTCATGCCGATGTTTTACATTGGTCAATCTGAAGGAACATTTAAAAATCGAATGAAAGAACACGTAAAGTTTCCAGAATGGAAAAATGAATTCAACTTATGCTAGTTGCCTCCTTACAGAAGGCAATCATGAATTTAAAACTTTCCATTTGCACATGAAAGGTTTGATACTTAATTTTCTGGAACTTATGAAAATTAATAAATCAAAAATTACCAATATCTAATGACTAATTGACATGATTTGGATAACCCCACCTTTGCTTAATATGTTCTTACCAGATTATTATTCTCAGTCACTCTAGAAAAATTAACATGTAACAATCATTAATTTGTTGTCCTATTTTTACCTGCTTTTATTAGTAAATTGGGGATTTATGTAGTTGAATCTAGCCTACTATAATCATCTCATCAACCTGCAAGTAATACGTTTTTTTTTGTAGAATATAAAATATTATAATTCAGTGACTCTTATGTCCTGCTGAAGGAAAGTAATGTCTAGCAATACGTGTCCCGGTTCAGAGTTTAGAATTAGAAAATGAGCCTTCTCAGTTAAAGTGGATTTCAATTTTGTGGTTTTGCTCATAGAGCATATTTTTTTATAAACAGTGGGAAAATGTCATCCGGGGATATGTGACGAAATCAAAGCAACAACATTTTCAACTACTTTACCCGTCAAATTCACGACATACCTCTGCCTATTCCAATAACAACGTTAACAAAACATTCTGTTTTGTTTGAGAGTCGGAAGATTTTCAATGGTGGTTGACATATAATCTACCACAAGATTACAAATTTCTTGTGGTTAGCCTCCTCATCCAAATTCCTTTCTATGAACTTACTGAATAATCGTTTCTTGAAAATGTCACATATTTTTCCTCGTATATTTGATGTCTTTATTTTTTATAATCAATAAACCGTTGGGGTTAATTATAAATAAGAAATGTATCTTGGACACTAAAACAAGTGTTACCTTAACATAAAGATGTTACGTTAATAAAAACTTTTACAATATTCAATTGAACAAGTATCAGTGGGGTCAAGCAATTGTGTCGAAATTGTTGGAAATACGGGAGTGTTAATAAAATAGATATTGCGGTTCGAAAAATTTAAAAGCCACAATCTCATGACTCTTCTCAACTATCCATATATCAAAATGGCAGGAACTTTGGCTAGACGTATTCTAATGGATTCATCTCTGAAACATCTCTGGATGTTTTAATTCGTCTAAGAAGAGTTTGACAAGACCAATCAAGGTACGAAATTTGTAAGCACACCCACAAAAAACTATTTTTATGCAGCAAACAAATCATTATATTCCATATTCTGATATGAAGTAACGCTTGGAATCATACATTTGTAATAAACTTCGTAGTGAGTTTGAGAAAATTAAAACCGACAAAATGTTTTCTCGAAAGACTCTCACCATTCAGGCCCTTCCTCTGATTGCTTTTATACATAAGATGAAGTACTAGTTTATTTCTTCTTATAGCAGTGATATACTCCGAGACAAACTAAAGGGTTAAGAGTGGTAGTCTTAAGAACCTATTGATTCATCATAGACAAGTCATTTTTTTCTGAGGCTGGATGGAATAAAAATATTTCACCAGAATTAGAGTTTCCGGAGTGAGTATTCTTAATATTCATCTACTTATCTTGAGAAAAACTACAAATATATCAACATTCTTGAAAAATGCTCATTATGGAGTAGTTTTTTTTTCAATAGTTATCCAATTTTCACTGTATTTTGATCTTGACTTATAAACATCTCTTCTGATAACAGTCAAGATGTTAGCAAAACATCTTCATGGATACAAATCTGTCTTCGACACTGTAGTTTTCTATCGTTCAGATATGTTGACAATAGAGAAAAAGTAGAGATTGTTTGGAGTAGAAATGTAGCAAAATTTAGATTATTTTTTTATGGAAAAGTCCCCAACTATCCAAAACAAGTAAGGCCAACTGCTACACTGTTTCGAGGTATACAAATCATATTCTGGAAGGGTGTTTATTGGGAATATGAATAACTTTATCGTGTTGAATCAATAAAATGCATGTCGATATATATAAGGCGACATTTGTAAACAACATTTTGAACATGACAATATACATGCTTTCATCCAGTAAGTAAACAAGTAATTCTTCCTAACTATGCTTCCTAGAACAAAATATTGTGAGAGCTTGCAATGTTGCATGTATGTTTTTGAAAACGTTCATACAATGTGTGTATGAATTCATGATGTACAGTAAATCCTACGATGTGATAGACAAGAGGAGAAATGAACAAAAATGTAATTTCTCGAAGAAAAGTGTTTGTTTATCAGAAATTTTTACTTGCCAAAAAATATGATTGGCGATGAAAAAAATGAAAAGTTTTATAAGAAGGTCTGAAAAGTTAAAAATGCAATTCATCCACAAGTGTAAATTAAACACTTTTGCCATCTGACCTGAGATCACTCACGAAATGAAGTAATTGGCTTCGTTGAAAAGCTGAATTTATTTGGTCAAGTTTGAAAAGATATAAGCCACAATACGGGTTGCAATGCATCTACTTTGGACCAACATACAAACTCTTATTTTAATGTTTTCGAACACCCTGTATATAATTTTGTTTTTTGCATTGACAATAGCAACTTTTTAGCAAACGATAATTTTTAAGAAGAACTTTTCTGTATAATTCTATTTTACTTTATTGTATTTGATTTTTGGAGGTCTCAAAGAACAATCTGACAAAGTAAATAGTCATTTATCTTCCCTTAATCAGCTACCTTTGTACTTGAAAAACAGTTTCATACCTCAAAAGAGGTCTATGCTAACCTTCATAAATAACGTGAGGAACTGATTGTAATTTGTGATTGTATAATTTGAAAAACTTTATATTACTGGTTGTGTTTCATAAATCAATGTAAGTAGCTATCGTTTACCTGTGAGAAGCGGCATAGTGTCGTAAAGATATGAGTTTCGTGCAATTGGTACAACTCCCTAAACATATCCATGCAAGCAACACATGCGACACTTTTACTGAAATGAAATATTTACAGATGATTCCTTCAGTGGTACTGCCATAGCTGTGTTCACTTATGATGTTTCGAATCTTCTTAGAAATAACCTGAAAAGAACATATATTTTCGTTACTACGACTGAATAATGTTAAAGCACAAAAAAGAGGACAACTATAAATATATATCCAAAAAATGTTCAATGTTTACTTCAAAACTCAGAATTCATCAAAGAGTACTTATTTGCTTAAGGTGATGAACTGCCAAATTGCATATTTGCCAAATATTTAATTTGGTCATTACTAATATTTGGCAATCACGAACTCACCTTATCAATTTTTCGATTTGGCTTTTTACTTTTTTTTTCGCTTCAGATGAAATGGTAATTCTCAGATGATAACACTTCCAAGTACCTTCAACTGTCAAATATTTTATTATTTATTTACATTTCCCTACAGCGTTTTCCATTGATGAAACTGTTGCACAACAGTATATCTCTGTCTTCTATTTCTTCATTTATTAATAAAGAACAGAAAAACATTGAGGTTACTCTAGTTTCACCGTTAAGGATCAGCTAATCAGTATTTCTGAAACAAAAGTATCACTATCTCTCTCTATATATATAAATTGACTTTTGCTTCCATTCAGTTCAGGCACATTGAGTCAAAACAAAAATCTATTCATATTTTATACATTCCCTCCAACAATCCATTTATATTAATATTCGGAATGGCGATATAATATATCAAATAAGATTTAACAAAACTAAATTTGAATATATTCCCAAATTCCCATTGTACTTGTCAAAGAAGGAACACCAAAGTTTTGTTCTTCGAGTAAAATACAACGAACATATCATCGAATTCGCGCATGCGGGCAACGAGGTTTGTTTGTGTGATCGACATTTCATTGTCAAGTCAGTTATGGTAGTTTTTCAAAATATCAATAAAACATCAGCTGTTTGTGATTCTTGAAAGCCAACCGCATATTTTGTTTAATGGGTCTTGTAGCCATGTACCATCTACCATGGGAGCGATTGCGTCTGTGCTGCAGTGGCATTGCACTTTTTGCAGTTTAATTAATCCCACAGAACAACTGACATGCATTCGATGTGGAACAAAAAGGGTGAATTCGATCGAAAGGAACCCATTTTTTGATACACTAGGAAGTGACAATAATTGTACAGTAATTCGTCGAACAAAATCTGTAGCCGAGAAAAATTCAGAAAGGTAAGATTATTAAAAATATTTCCGACCATTCATTAAAAGATCAATAATGTGGGTCAATTTTTTTCAGTGCTTTAGGTGATGGGTACTGTAGTAGTTTGATTAAATGCAAAGTTCTTTCCTCGACTTCATCAAAAACTACTGAAAATTCATATTTTGGTTTGAAAAAGTACTCAAGCTTACCTTGTTTATCTTCAAAAACTTACTGCGAGATTTGCGAGATTTATTTCTGGACTTGCACAATCCAATGTATCCTGTGTAGTAATTTTTTGCTAAAAATGAACCTAACAGAGTCTCCTTGTAAGATCTGTTCGCTGACACCCGTAGAAAACTATCGAAATTTTGATATTCTGAATTGTGATAGACCACCAATGTGTAAATGCCAGAGAAACAAGTCTTTATCTTTTATTAAAAGTTTGAGTTGTTCTGTGGCTCAAAAAAGCAGCTGTGATTCAAAAATAGACGGCCAACAACCAAAAAATATAAGAACTACTGCTAGTGGTATAAACAGTGTACATCCCACCAATAATTACATGTGGACGGTAAAAAGTTTGTTACCGAGAGGCACATGGACCTGTAATAAGTGCACTTTATTGAATAGTGCTAACTTGACACAGTGCGAAGCTTGCGAGTCGCCATTCTCTCCTGATTTAAATAGCAATATAAAACCTAGTGTCATAATCAAGGTAATGATTTTTGTCTCAGAATATACATTGATTCTCTATCTTTGCCTATTTTGAGTTACATGTACATGCTTGCCGCTTGAAACTTTCTATGCCTATAGAACTGTATTCTTTTCTTGTTATCATTTATTGTTATATTATCTATGTGTTTTTTTAGTCTTTTTTCTCTGTTTTTTTTATAATATTAGAATCATAGTTAAGGTTTTATTTTCCCAAATCTACACAGGGATAACCGTAAGCATTTCTGAAATTCAAATGATGGATTTTTACTTATAACATTTTTTTGCTGGATATTGTTTCAGTTCATCATTAATTTTTCTGAATAGTCTTAAGGTGAGGTTTACATTGTGTACCTTTTTTCATAAGTTCCAAAATAACCTTTGTGTGTAATTTTGTATTTTATGACACAATAAATACTTTTTATTATCATTATTATTATTATTGAATACTCCCTTTTATTAAATATTTTTTCTGATGGAAAAATTGATAATCAGTTGATATGTAAACTAAGGTTATTTTCATTTATTACATGATATCTATTTAAATGAGTTTGTAAAATGTCTTTCCTAATGTTTGAGTTTGTAATCAGTTTAAACCAAAACTCAGGTTAATTTGTTAGTCATTAGGTAGATAGAAGGACATCTCATTCAAATTCTTAAATTATATGAAGCACTGATTAGGTAGAATTTAGTTAGTATCAACATGCCTGAGGAAGTATTGTATATTGAAACACTTGTTGCGGTTTTGAAAACTCTTCAGTGAAAACAAGATTCTCATGGGTCCCTAAATTTGAATGGGGTATTCACCCAACATTGGAAAGCCCAACGTTGTTTTTGTTAATTTTTTTTGCGAATCTATATTTTACTTAGTTTGCATGCTAAGGTTGTGAATGAATTCATTTAGTTTTTAGAATTCTGAATAACTTGATCAATGAGATAACACCTTCAGACAATAAAGTGTACTCGATTGATTAATTGATTGATTGACTTTTCTGTAGGTCGACAATTGGACAGATAACGAAAGCTTGCGTAGTCACGATCTCAAACCGATTTACAGAAGATCTTTTTCTGAATTACCTTCGACACAAAAGCTGCATATTCCGAATATAAACCGTAGAAGCCTTGAAAGTAGTTCTTCGCTACTGACCGTTCCCAGGTCTAGCACGTCAATGGTTGACATACAATCATCTCAATATCCACCTGTGTTCGAAAAGCTTAACAGCATGGAGAGGAAAATTGTCGGTAGGGAAGTATGTGATAGTTCTCCTAAGGAGACAACAAATAATACTCTGTATACTTATATTGGAATCTCAGACCCCGATAATGAAAAGCATTTCTATGAGAATCACAGCATTATTGATGCGCAGAAGAAAAATTCAAACTTCGACTTGGAGCAGCACGAGAAGATGTAAGTAGTACCTTTCAAATTATGGAACTTTATTTTTAATAACAACTTTATTCGAAAATTAACTTCAGCATCAATTTCTGCTTCAGTCAAGCATTCATTGCATTTGAATTTTTTACAAATATACTACAAAAATGGAACCGAATATGTGAACATGTTCCTTGCAGCGAGTTATCATAGTCCACTCAGTTTGACCAACATATTTTTCAACACAATCCTCACAACTTATTTCGTGATATTTATTTACTTTCCGTCTTCTTGTCTTGCCCAACACTTGTTGAATTGTACAAGCAATTTGAAAGCCACTTTCATATTCAATTTCACAAAAATTTGTGTGTATTTTGGTTCGTATGGAAGAACTTGAAATGTTGAGTCTTCATCTTTCTGAAAAGTCGATTATTCATAGACACTATCTAAATTCTCTCTTCCTAATTTTTGTCCTGATGAGGAAAACATGTTTTCAATAGATTAAGTACATTGGTGATCTACTGAGGAGTCTGAAACAGTGCAATATGTTTCTGAGTATGAAGAAAAAAAGTTACCTATTTGTATAAAAAAATTTGTCCTTATGAATTTCATGAATTTCAGAATGCAAGTTATGAAGCAAAACAATACTGCGAAATTGAGTTGGACCGTTAACGAGAGGCGATGGACTTGTCGGCAATGTTCTTTTGCTTACAACGGTTTTTGTGTTGACAAATGCGACATCTGTAAAAGCTGGAGATCACCACCATCTCTGAATCAGCCCTGCACGGTAACTGTGACTGAAGATAGAAGCTTGACAGGTTCAGGTTCTTCACACAAGTAAGTATAACAATTATATTAAGCAAAAAAACTGATATTATAATGAAATAAGGGGTAGAATATTACAAATTTTAGGTAATGTGTAAGTTAAAAAGCAATGAAAAATATTTTTATTGAATTTTGGAGTGTGAAGTAATTCGTTTGTTGTAATTCTAGTAATATAAACTGTGTGAACATAATTATAAAATGTTTTGTTTCATAAACTATGAAAGTATAATGTTCGAATATTACTAAGATTTTCTGAATAAATAATATTAGTGTGATATGATCTTTTTTCTTCAAGATTATTTTCAGAATATAGTTCTGTATTACGTTCAGTTTTTGCAAGGAACTCTTATACATTATACATTATTTAAAAAAGGTGATGTGAATGACCTAGACAATTATAGAGCAATAAGCCTACTGTCGAGTCACTCCAAGCCATTTGAGTTGAATCGAGAACAACAGTTGACTATGTTTTACGAACAAAACAAACTATTGTCATCCTCACATCACGGTTTCACTAAATCCAAGAGTACTGAGTCAGCCCTATGTGAATTTCAGTCGAGAATTGTTAATGTTCTCGATAGGAAAAAATGTGTCATGGGCCTTTTTATAGATTTCTCACGTGCTTTTGATTGTGTGGACCATGAACTGTTACTATCTAAGATTTATAGATCAGGTGTAAGAGGGGTAACTACCACATGAAAGAAGTCCTTCGCCCAGACATGGGGGCAAAGGGAGAAGGAATCATTCCAGGATCACTACGAGTCCGAAAATCCAACCAGTCGTGTTGCCGGAGAGAGGCAAAATCAACCTCCGTACAGATCTGGATAAAGGTATGATTTAGTAATAAAAATAATAATAATAATGGCATTTACTACCCAGCAGTTAAAAACCATTCATTTTCTTCATTTTCACGTTTTCCCCGCGGATTCGACAATAATTGACTACACTGTACAGTTAAGCTGAACTTCATTTCACTACTACACTGCTAATGCAACACAAACTCTTTAACTAACTTCAGACTAATTCTCAAATGTCTATCGCTTCGGTAGCTCACTTCGTACCGCACTTTCAAATAGACTAGCTCCATCTGCCTGTTGGTAGTGCTTATATATGCCAATGGAAGTCTCAGGAAGTCGAGAGGAATATTCTTGAAGTGACATGACACCTCTAACGATTGAGAAATTTATTTATTTATTTTTTTACAGGTAAAGTCGAGCGTGACTCGAGATATTTTTTCAGGGGATAATTTAAAAAATTATTTTCTCTCTTAATAAAAATTAGTATAGACACACCTAAGGTAGCAATTGTATAGCGAAACACGTGTTGCCTTCTTTGTAAAACTGTTTAGTGAAAATCCCACAATAAAGTGTTTCTTGAAAATGATTTTGATTTTAATCATATTCTTTATTGATGTCTTAACTCTGTATTCCTTTCAGATTCGATAATAGTGGGTCCGTACCAGCCTTGGCAATGCATGATCTGCACCTTCGAAAATACCAAATCCCAACAAATCTGTGATATGTGTCAGAGGATGCGCGAAGACGTCAAGTCCGCCCACCCAAAAGATCCCGCTAGACTAACACAACAAGAGATGAGCAACAAGCATTGGAATTATATTGTTAAGTATTGTAAATTGAGGAAGCAGAGCTACCTCGATGACGATTTTCCACCTATGCCAAGTAGCCTTTACTACAATCCTGTCGAAATGAAGGATTCCCACACTGTCAAATGGAAAAGATTGAGAGACATCGTCGTCGAAGAGGATAAAGACTTGATCTGGGCTGTTTTCAGGCGGCCGCAGCCCTCGGATATATCACAAGGTTCTTATTCCATTCACCTATTAGTGCTGTCGCATTCATATACGGCATGATCCAAAAGTATATGTGGTGTTCGCCGAAAAAAGGTACATAGCTTGGCAATGAGTTTGACTTAACGATGGTTTCGGACACTTGAAAGAATGCTCTTTCATGTGGACTTTTTCAAACTTACAAAAAAAAATTCACACCTTTATTTGAAAATCTTATGTTCAGAACCATACCATACCATATTGTGTTAAGAATCACACGTTAAAAGGTAAGACCTCGTTAGTCCTTAGCTCGCACAAGTTTCTCAACTTCTGAGAGTTGTCGTTCATATGGGGGTGACAGCTGATTAACGGAAACAGATTTTAAACAGATACGCTGAAAATAGGTACAGGTACAGGTACGACAGGTTCTTCAAGTTCTTAGAAGCTGATGCAAGAACTTTTTTTTTATATTTATTGAATCAGTTTTCCTTCACAATCACATTAAACAAGGAAAAACATTACATTATCATAAAATACTGGCTGATTCAACAGGTCAAACAAACATAAAAAAGATAAAACAGTTAATATAAAACATAAAACATACATAAAAAAGTTAATAAGCTACAATAAAATTAAGATTCAAGGAGAAACTCATCCACAGAGTAGTATGCTTTTTGCAATAGAAAAGTCTTGAGTCGCCTTTTAAAGACAATTAAGGATTTGAGGATTTAATGTCCTCACTAAGCTCAATATATAGCTTAATCCCAATGCACATGGGGTGATTCTTTGATACTGTCAATCTACTATAAGGTTGATGTAATTGAGAGTTATTTCTGGTGAAATGTTCATGGATTTGCTCATTTCTAGAAATAATTGAAATATTGTTCTTTATATACAGTGTGTAACAACGAAAACTTAACAGAGCCGTTTTTGAGTATAAAAAGTAAGATTTTTAAAAAAAGCTCGGACACGTCGATTTCTAATTAAAGGGGGACACCTTTCAGACTAATCTGATTTTTTGTAGTACGCACCCCCTCGGAGGGGTGCGTCCGACGACCCTTATTTAGATAGGGAAAGTAGGTCGAGTGGCACCTTGTTTTAAAGGACTTTCGAATACCTTTACATCTCTGTTAAATGAAAATTTTTGTAACGATTAGTTTTCGAAAGAATTTGAAGATTTAAAGGTATTTTTATTGAGTTCAACTCTTTTTAAAATAAATCAAATTGTGTGTTCATTTGATTTCGTAAAAAAGTAAGAATTATTTGTTTATTATGAGGAGATTTTTTCGGGGGATGGGGTTGGTTACCACCCTTACATTTTAGGTAAATTGAGTGGCACCTCCTTATGAAGGTTGCCTTTTGACGTGGATATTTTATGCTTCTGATAAAAAAGTGAATCATGCTAAAAACTTACTTACACAACGAATACAACCTGTTGATTTCGTTGAATGCTGATGACACAGAAAAGTTTAAAAAACTGTTTTAGGGTTAATAAATCCCAATAATTGTTTTTAAAGCACACACAAAAAAAGTAACACCTAATAAGGGTAACTCACATAGGAAATTTGGAGTAAATGTTCAAAATGTGCGCCATTTTGCTCCATGCAACAATAAAGATTTTGTTCAAATTTTGCTCTTACATTATTCAATATCTCAGGAGTTATAGCTCGGCATTCATCAATAATTCTACGACGTAATTCATCCAAATTGGCTGGCTGTGTAACATAAACTTAAGACTTTAAATATCCCCACAAAAAGTAGTCCAGTGGTGTTGAATCTGGTGATCGTGCTGGCCATTCAATTGGACCTCTTCTATCAATCCATTGTCCTTCAAAATGATTATTCAAAAAATTTCGAACCTGCTGGGCATAATGAGGTGGTGCACCGTTTCGTTAAAAATCGATAAATTCATCTTGAAATCTTGGATCCTGTTCAATTATTTCAACTATACGAGGTTGTACTGCCTCTTCAAGAAGTTGTAAATAAGAATCACAGGTTAAATTTCTATCAATGAAAAATGGACCTATAATATGATTGCCTAATATTCCGGCCCAGACATTCAACTTTTGGGGATGTTGGGTATGTTATTACTGCGTATTGTCTTGAGTTTTCGTCCGACCAATAACGGCAATTGTGACGGTTCACGCAACCATTTAAATAAAATGAGCTTTCGTCCGAAAAACAGATGTTATAAAGCAGCTCGGGATTTTGCATTAATCTCTCACTCATGCCCTCACAAAACTCTTGTCTTCGGTCAAAATCATCCTCATTGGGTCCATGAACAAGTTTAATTTTGTAAGGATGGAATTTGTGGTTTTTAAGGATTCTTCATGTGCTCATATGGCTTATTCCGGCCATTGCTGATAAACCTCTGGTACTTAACCTGGGATTGGCGATGACTTGACCAATCACTCCAATCGCATTATCGCATTCACTACCCTTCTCTGAACATTTCTTTTCTTATTTAAAACCGAACCTGTCTCCCTGAATTTTGTGACCAAATCCAGAACGTGATTTCTGCTTAGGTGTTTACCAGGGTTTTGCTTGTTAAATAAAATTGATTTTCTATTAGCATTTTGGTCGTTGCCAAAAAATAAAGCAATAACTGAAACCCTTTCAGCAGTAGTGTAAGGCATTTTTAAACAAATAACAATACACGACCCGTTTAAACAAAACAATCGAACGATGTACTAATAAAAATTGGAAGAAGAGTAGTGGGTATTGATTTTAAAAAAGGGATTCTATTTAATCAAAAACTGATAAGAAGAACTGCTCGAAAAATTTTTTATTTAGGCATACATGTTACCGAGTGGTCTGTCTAATGTATTATTAACATGGCAATTTTAACTTCAAATTATCTCGAAAACTAATTGTTACAAAAATTTTCTTTTAACAGTGTTGTGAAGGTATTCGAAAGACCTTCCCTATCTAAATAAGGGTCGTCGGACGCACCCCTCCGAGGGGGTGCGTACTACAAAAAATCAGATTAGTCTGAAAGATGTCCCCCTTCAATTAGAAATCGACGTGTCCGAGCTTTTTTTGAAAATCTTACTTTTTATATTCGTTGTTACACACTGTATATCAGTGTTTGGTAGATATACAAACCAGGCATTGTTAATAAACTATAACGAATTAATAATGGCCTGCAGTGTTCACTTGAAGATGCACCGGCCAGAATTCTGATTACCTTTTTCTGAATAACAAAAACTTCATCAGCTTCAGCTGATAAGCCCCACTGCTCAAGATCATAGGAAATTACTGTCTGAATTAAACTGTGGTATAAAAGCTTAAACATCAAGAGAGACTGTTTGTTTTAACCGACGAAGTAAATATATATGTTTACACAGCTTCAGTTTGACACTATCCAGATGCAGATCCAACTAAATTCAATGCAGAGCCACGTATACCATAAAACTTCAATTTGTGTAACAGTATATCATAGTCAACTAGGTCAAAAACTTCGCTCAAATAAAAAAAAACCTAGAGTCTGCTGTTTGTTTTCCAAGATTTCCAGCGCATGTTTAATGAGTTGATCAATTGCATCAACTGTAGATTTATTTCTTCTATCATCATTCTGACTAGAAGAAAATATTCTGAATGATTCAAAGTAATCATATAATCTTTGATAGAAACAGTATTCAATAATCTTAGAAAACTGCCTAGGTAGCGATATAGGCCTGTAAGATGCACAGTCAGATCGAGAGCCCTTATTTTTGTATATTGGCAAAACCTTTGACATTTTCATTTGTGTATCATTAAAATTCTCAAACTCAGCACACCCTGTTTCACAATTTTCTGATCTAATATTCAAACCTGAACTTGCAGAAGATTCATCTTCATTACATACTGCATTCTATATACCAAGGCTGCTCAACATTTTTAACAGTCGGGCTAAATGGTGAATTCAGACTTCACGACGGGCCATTGACAATTCCTATTTCATTTACTTTCAAGACATGCGCAATAAAACCCCAATATTAAGAAATAAAATTAAATTTTTATTTATTAGGTAATATTATGAACAAACAAAGAGTATCTTATGCTAAAATTTAGCAGCTAAATAAAGAAAAAAAATTGAACTTAAGTATGTATCTTCTCAAATCTAGGGTAAGTCATTGATACAATCAATGTGATTTTAGCCATTGTTTGTCTTTTAATAATTTACTTAGGTTAGGCGACAAATCCTATGTTGATAGTAACAAGTCACAAACATGTTGCTCAGTTGAGGATGTGCGGTATTTATTTTTTACATAATTAAGGTCTGAAAATGCCTTTTCACACACATATGTTAATCCAAAACTACTTAAAAACTGTAACGCCAAGTCAGTTATTGCTCGAAATTCTGCTTTTGGTACCAATTTCCAGAAATCTGCAAAATCTTCTGAAGAATTTTGTGCTTTCGAAGACAATTTGTTGGCAAAATGGTTTTTTAACGTATCGTGATTTTGCAATTCACGAGTTCCAACTGCGGCAGGCAATTTGACGGGATTTTTCAATATGGTGCGCCACAATTTGGTGGGCCACATTGTGGCCCGCGGGCCTGGGGTTGAGCACCCTTGCTATATAACATTTACTGCTTTGAACTCTTTATCAGAAAACCTCTTGATTTTTTTTTCAAAATCGTCACTCCCTCTCATTTCAGTAAAATAGAATTTATAAAAATTAATAATTCACGATGAAATTCTCGCAAAAATTACGAAACTGAAGGAAAACATAAGTGGTAATAAGATAGAAAACCCAGAAACGAAAAAGTTACTTTATTCAGCTGTATTGTAGTCCACTCACAAACTTGATAACTGAAGCTTCCGGCAACGAGAATAAGAGTCGTAGATTGAAGGAATGACGTCAGAGATACCCAGACCAATGATATCAAGACCTTACACTCCACTGAAGGCGTGTACGTATTAGTAATACACCGCGAAACTCTAAACACGTTTTTCTCAATAACTTGTTTTCATGCACTATGTACCTTTTTTCGGCGAGCATCAATTATAGTATAATCCCAGTTTGAAATGTTCAAACTACCAAGGATTTAGTATTTTTTCTGGTTATTCAATGGAGACTTCAAGTTTGACCTTATTCTTGGAAATTATTTGGAAGTCGAGGCCGGTTGTCTCGGAAATAAGAAGAGCGGGAAAATTCAGGTGTGATCTTGAGCTACTGAATGTCATTTGAAGGTCAAACATTACTAGTTCAATTTTTTCATCCCGTTTCAAGGCAAAACATTTCACATTATAAAGAAATGAAGCCAGTGGAGTGCAGGTTATATTTGAACCAAATCACAGAAGGCAAAGTGGTGTGTTAACCCTTTTTATACGAGGGTGTTTTTTTTTTATGCAGTACTCCCTGTACGCAGGTTTTTTTATTTGACGTATACTTACGACAGTCGTATTCAGAACAATTATAATGAAAGAAAAATGCAAAATACTCATTTTATTCATAAGAAAAATCAATCTATTGATTCCCAAAAAGAAAACTACGGTTTGAAGAAAGAAAATATAAAGGAATACTTTTAAAATTCATAACGTCTTTTTGGTGTGATACAGCTCAAAGCAAGGTGTCACACACAATCCGACGTTACAAATGTCACACTGGTAAGATTTTTCAGTTCTTTATTTATTCGCAGAACATACTGCACAACTTCTAATGGGAGGCCTTGCAGCAGGTTTGGATTTCGGTATCTTTTTTATATGAAGTGTCTTGCCGTGAGTCGTAAAGGGTTAGTATAGAACATAATTTGTTTCATTCTCATCAGATTCAATGCTATCTGGCGGTTCATTGTGTTCTGGCTCATCATCATATCCCTCTTCATCTTCACTTCCTCCACTACTCAAGATACACTCGTTATCATCCACGTCAGATGAATTGTCGGCTATATTTTCGAACTCTTTTTGGGTTAAATACCTGCAAGAGATGTTTACAGTGTTTACCCTTTGATAAAATGATACTGACTGAAACACCTGCCTTCAAACAGTAATATTTTGCCCATCAAATGTGCAACCGCTGAGATTGCAAATACTGGGTTATATTACACACATCCAGCTCGCCGTATTCGTAAGACACTCGTGAAGCTGTCCATAATCATTTAAACTTGTACGACACTCGTACTTACATGAACGTACGTATACATACGGCACTCGTATAGAAAGGGTCGTATAGAAATGGCAAGTTTATCATTGGATCCATTAGGAGGGTGTACCTGGGAAGTTGATGGAGAGTGGTTGAGACGATACTAGATTTCTCACTGTTTCTGTTTCCGAAGTCAAAAATTTGGAAATGATCGGCGAAATTACAGTCTAATAAAAAAATCAACATCGGACAGTTCGAAAAATTGTGAAAACCTTGTACGTTTTCTTCGCCTACAACACGATTTTCATTACCATTTCAAATGTTCAATCTGAAAATGACCTTCAGAATCACAAAGGTCATATCCGGTCATTTTTTTTCTTGCTCTTTCTGCTTCTGAGAAAAAATACGGGTTTCTTCTTTGGCCTTGACCTTCAAACAATCTGTAAGTTCAAGGTCCAATCCATCTTTGGATAGCCGGAAAAAAACTCCTAAGCCCCTGATACGTTGATCTTCTTTTACTGCTCCACATTTTTGAGTAATTAGCTGTACCGGAACATTCATTTCTGGTTGTGTGGAAAAATATATTTCTCTTTAGGCGTTTTGGGTAACTGTTGGCTCCTGAGTGCTCTGGCGGTATTGGCAGAACGAGAAGACCTTGTCAGAGCGGTACTGATCACTCGAGATTTTTGCCCGCAAGGCGTTTATCAAGTCAGACTTTGCAAGGACGGACATTGGACGACGGTACTCGTAGACGACTATTTTCCTTGCGACAAAAAGGGTCACCTGTTCTACTCACAGGTTGGTTTAACTCAAATCGAAACGAACGTTTTCATAAATTTTGTATTTCAGGCTAAAAGGAGGCAGCTTTGGGTGCCTTTAATCGAGAAGGCGGTTGCCAAAATACACGGGTGCTACGAAGCGCTCGTATCGGGACGTGCAATTGAAGGTTTGGCTACCCTAACGGGGGCACCTTGCGAGAGTATTCCTTTACAAGCTTCGTCGATTCCGGCTCCAGCAGAAGAAGAGTTGGATGTTGATCTCATTTGGGCGCAGTGAGTTCATAATTTTTCATTTGGTAGAGGACTGATCAGTATCATGTTGTTCAGTCATAGATAGATAGGTAGATAGATGGATATTCATTTGTGCTTCTAATCGTGAAGATTTTGCACACGTCAAGAATATGGTTACATTGTAAAATACATTCAAAGTAACATACAAATTACAATTAAAATGAATTGAACAAGACAAAAGTACAGAACTCTATTAACAGAATATGATCAAATTATCTAAATGAAGATAATCAAATTCCGTTTGGTAATATCAGAAAAACAAACTTACTCACCTTCAGCTGTAATATTAACAATTTATCCTTGAATGGTCATATTCTTGGGAATAAAACCCAATCCAAATTCCTGGGAATCTTCAATTTTTTATCATGAATTACAAATTCAAATTTGATCAACATNTTTTTATTATTGTCTCAGGAATAGGCCACTTGAATATTTTAATGTACTTATGTATGTATATCTATCTATATATCTATTTCATTCTGTGTATCTATTTATCTATTTAAAAACCCAGATCAGCATTAAAAATGTCATCAACTGAGTAATAACTTTCATGTATAAGTATATTTGATGTGAAAGAAGCTCATTATAAAACCTAGATGCGTAACAATTTACAGAATATTGGCTCTTCGTTAATCGTACAAATTCAGGAGCTATCAGAGCTGCATTTCTTGCGTTATAGTGGTGAATATCACTATGCATTTCAAATATGTGTTGCCCAATCATCAATCCGTAATATCAAAAAATATATAAACAGGGTATTGTCATAATTTTGTTCATCTAAAAGTATACGTTGACATCTGCTCGAAAACTAAAGCCATTTATTATTCTAACGGCTTTTCTTTGAAGGCCAAATAGTTTGTGAATGCCCCCAAACAAGGATTCCATATGTTAAATGGTGGTGTGACAGGTTAGAATGGGCACTCGTACAGGTTTCATGATTTGCAACAGGCTGTACATTTTTGAGAAGAAAAACGTTTTTTGATATTTTGTTGGACAAGAATTGAATATGTTTATCCCATAGTAATCTTGCAAGAATGAACCTAAAAATTTTACAGCGTGCAATTTGAGCAAAGTAAACATATCTTGTGTTAACAGTATATAACTCTCTTGCAACTACTCTGCTAGTCTGGCATTCTGCTGCTAGTCGTTTATATAAATGTCAACAATGCTATCAAATTTCAGACACTCATCAATGTATAGCCCTACGAATTTATTACTATTCAAAATTTCAATTTTTTCAAATCACATCTGAATGAGACCACATTTGTTTGGTTAATGTTGCAGGATAGAAGATTGGAATCACACCATTTCTTCACATTATGTCAGCGCTGATTTTGTCAGATAAATTTAAGGTGGTATTATTGTGCCAGAGAATAGTGATGTCAGTGAAAAAAGTGAATTTACCACTGATATCGAACATGGACTGAGTCATTGACATAAGTGAGAAAAAATACAGGTCCCAAAATGGGCTCTTGAGGTACACTACAGCCAATCCATGAAAATCCATCTATATTTTTCATGTTGATGTTTTTTTTTTCATTTATATCGAAATCCAGTACAAACAGATTTGTTTCTTGGGATACAGAAAAAAATTAAAATCACTCATGAATGTTTTCGTTGGATTGACCAAAATCAGTTGAGATCCCAAAAACATCAATGCCGTGAGAAAGCTGATTGAAAAAGAACAGCTTTTGATAAATTTCGCACAATTTGACAATACTTCAAAAGGGTTGTTGTGAATTGCTCTTAAAAGTCAACTTTTGCTTTTGTGTGAAATTATTATATAAGATGTGTATGTTCTCGTATGAACCAGAAAATAGGAAACTGGACTCACTATCAATCATTATTAACTTTCCACAGTATCACAGGATCGACCATATTACCAGTATAATTATCGAAAATATGTATACAATACCAATTTTAGAAATGCAATTGACGATTTTATTTCAGACTGCTTTCATCCAGACAAGCCTTGTTTCTAATGGGTGCCTCCTGTGGCGGTGGCAACATGAAAGTAGACGAGTTTGAATATCAGTCGAAGGGCTTGAGACCTAGACACGCTTATTCTCTTCTAGACGTTCGAGACGTCGAAGGACATAGATTACTAAAACTCAGGAATCCTTGGGGTGAGTCATTTATAGTGAGATAATTGCTTCTAGACCAGTTTGCTAAGAAAGTTTCAGCTGCATTAGCGTTAGAGTGTAGATTGTGAGGCGTGGTGTCACTCAACAAGAAAGTTGCATCATCAGCGTACATTATAGGAGACACATTCATTACGTTGAAAGTCATATCATTAATGTAAATAATAAATAATACGGGACCCAGGACTGAACCCTGTGGTACTCCATAATTGACTTTTAAAGGTTTTGATATGTCGCCGTTGAATTTAACACGTTGCTGGCGACCTGCGAGGTAGGATGTAAATAGATTTAGAGCTTTTCCTCTGATCCCATAATATTCTAATTTTTGTAATGATACACCGTGGTCCACCGTATCAAATGCTTTAAACATATCATAAAATTTCGCACAGCACAATTTACGCTCCTCAAAAGCTTTTAGAATATTTTTATACATTTCGCAGATTGCACCGATAGTAGATCTCCTCTGTCTGTAACCAAATTGAGCAATTGCTCAATAAGTTTTTTTTTCAAAATATTCTAAAAACCTATTTTTTAGTACGATTTCAAATATTTTTGAGATGACAGGTATAATGGAAATAGGCCTGTAACTGTCTGTGTTGTTGAATTCTCCTTTCTTATGAATAGGAGTAACTAGAGCTATTTTAAATATTTGAGGATAACTTCAGCTCTCGATACATATGTTTATCAAATGTGCAATAGGCTTGATAAATAATTTCAATAGACTAATTCATATAAAGGTAAATGATGGGCTGTTTGAAATGAGATCTTTGTCACTGTTCTCATGTCACACTCTGCTATTTCTAGAGTTTCCAAAGCATAAAAAAATCTAGTGTCTTGTTCCAATCTCTACAATTCCAGACAGTTTTCATGTATTCTTTGGCGTGTTGAGCTACTCTAGACTTTTCCAGTCTCTGAAATCGAATATGTGTTCTTTGAAAAGAGTTTTAATGGCTCGCTTAGTCTGACCAATATTTTTTTTGTCACAGTCCTCACACTATATTTCATATATTCCCGACTTTTAAATTTCCAACATCTTATCTTCAGGGTTACCAAATATTCGTCTCAAAGGCTACCTTCACGTTCAACTTCTTGAAGATACAATTTGATTGGTTAGATTATCTTGCTTCATATGGAAAGATAATAAACTTTGAAACTGAGACAATTCGAAAAGTCAAAGAATTTCGCTAAATGTACGTCTCCTAATTAACTCTTCCACTATTTTTGAAAATACCCGTTGCTTTCAGCTATGTCCCTGATAACATTGTTCTCAATAGCATATATTTCTTTACTCAAGGGGAACGTAACGAGTCTATGGTAAAGAACGTGTACCACCTACCATTTTATATTTTGGAATATATATCTTGATGAAACATGCGTTAAAAAGAGTATTTATTCAATGCTAGAGGTTACAGTTTTACCTTTTGCGCCAAAGTTTTTCAATGAATTTTCACTTGTGCCATTTAAATGTTTTCAGGTCATTTTGTATGGAAAGGGGATTGGTCAGACGATTCTCCGCTGTGGACAAGCGAGCTAGTGGCTGAGTTGAGCCCGGATGGGTCCCAGGACGGTACTTTCTGGATATCTTTCGCCGATGTTCTCAAATATTTCGATTGCATCGACATTTGTAAGGCGAGAAGTGGTTGGAATGAAGTGAGGTTGACTGGAACTCTTCCGCCACTCGCAAGCCAGCAGTACTTGTCCTGTATATTTCTGACTATTTTAGAACCGACGGAAGTTGATTTCACATTATTTCAGGTGAGTTGGACTTGGACCATGTTTAGTTTAGGTTTATTCTATCTTTTGAACTTCATTAATACATCTTTTCATGTAAGTGAAATCCCACAGAAATTGAAAATTGATAGTGTCTTATCTATTCAAAAAGTAACAAGTGCTTTGATAGCAGAATTTCGCCCAGTAAACACATTCCCGCCTTACATCCTAGCTATTGCTAGAAAATTCAAGTTTATTTCCAAAGAAATTGATTAGGGAAAGTTCGTAGTTTCAATATTATATGACTTGGCTAAGACGTTTGATTTCAGGGTGGTATTTTAAGTTGGCATCCTGTGTCTCAAATACCTGTCCTGGCAGCATACCTGAAAATTCTATTAAAACCGATGTTTCAAAATTCAGATTTCAGTTTTATACTTGATAGTGGGGTAAAACCCGAAACTGGTCGTATAAATAAAATTTACCAGTGGTATTTAGACAAAAGTGTTTTTATTCATTTCATTTAAGTGATCATGAATTACCATAAAGTAAAAAAGTCATCAATCACATATATTAGATCAAAATAGTGCTTAGTTCAGATGGTACCAGAGGACTGTTTACTATTCATTGGCCTACTCACATATGGCTTAAAATATATTAATGTGGGATTCTTCTGTGGAGACAAAACGTGGACTGTAGCTGGTCTGTTCGACGTGGGTGCTTTGTTCACTCACTCAAATTGACGTTGGTCGCCCCAGGCTGAACGATCTATTTTCACGTTCTATCGTCCAACCCTGAGGGTTGTTGTTCGTAGGGGTGCGACAGCTGGTTAACGGAAAAACAGATTTTAGACAGATTTTTATTCTTCAGAAAAGATTAACTAGAATCAACTTTAATATTACACCCAAGGATAGCTGTAGACCTGCTTTCTGTAAGAACAAAATGCTAACGTCACCGCGTATCTATATAAATAAAGCTCTGCTCCATGTGAAACGTAATGTACCCAATCTAAGACATGAATTAATTGTTCATAACTATGCAACACTAAATAGACATTTATTAACTATTCCAAAACATGAAACATCAAAATTCAAGGAAACTCTTGCATTTAATAGCAATACGTTGCCTCAAGATACTAAAGAGTTGCATATGATACCATTTTAAAAACGAATAAAGGAGCTATTAACTAATAAGAGATATAATATCGTAGAAGAATTTTCAGAAAGGAATTGTTATTGCTTTCACTGCATTTCTTTTACCCTAGTTAAAGATTTATTTACTTTTATATATATTTATGTATATGTAGGTGTATATGTATGTGTTTTTATTTTTTATATTATGTTAAGTACCTCTCTTAAGTGTCCGATCTATGTTTATACTTTGGACCGTTATCGTTTATCTATTTTTTTATTCGTGACATGCCTCATATCATGTAAATGATCAAAAAGACGAATGAAATTATTATTATTATATTCAAAGTTATCGCTCTTCTTCAACATTTTACTAATTTAACCGAGACGTGAAATAAAAATACACCTGACAAATGTAAAAATTCTATTAGGAGGGTCAAAGAAAATCGGAGAAGTCCCAGCGATCTCAACTGGACTTGTGTGTCGTACTCTTCAAGGCTAGACCGGCTTCAACCATAGGGAGTTTGGTGGAGCACAGCAAACGGCAAGTCAGAGGTTTCGTTGGTTGCAACAAAATGCTGGAAGCTGGTTCGTACATTGTTGTCCCTCTAGCTTTCAATCACTGGCACACCGGTCTGGATGACGTTAATCTTTTCCCGAGGTAAGACCATATAACAAATTCTTATTATCTGTCTAATTGTAGAACCAACTGTCATTTCACATATCTTACAGAAGATAATTTTCACTGATAGCTTGACAGTTAATTCCGTCTTATCTAACAATGTGGTTGTTCCAAAAGTTTTGTCCGTTTTTTATGAGTTTGATTCATCGCTTTTGCTAACGTAACACAAGTCGATGAATAGGGTGCTCGAGATTCGATAAAGTCGACGAAGGCCGTTTCTGCCTGGCCCTGATTGTAGAGACTTCTACCGGTGAGAAAGTTATCAATGTGCTTGAGAAGATGGTAATCGGTTGGCGAGAGGTTCCGCCATTCCACCCACCGTTTGTGATGGGTCAGCCTCCACCAGGGTTCTCAAATCCTTGTCCTGGATTACTGTAGGTCGACCACTTCGGGGCTCATCTTCGAGGCTGAAGTATCGGGAACGAAATTTCGTAAACCAACGTCGATCGGTGTGTTTATTAACACTATCATTGACAAATAACTGGGTAATTTTCGGGCTGTTTTGGTTCGGTGACTTTTGATAACTGGTGGAAGGAGATAATGTTTTTCAAATTTCAAGTTTAGTTAATTTTGATCAAACTGGATTTTAATGTTACATATCATTTCTTTCCAATTAAGAAAATTATAATATATTACAATACCATATGCAAAAGCATGGATTTTTACTTCCCACTGTAAATTCCATAAATTGTTGAGATGTCTCTAATTAGAGGTTCTAAGACACTACTTTGAGGTATAGTCTATCCATTCCCAATTGGAACAGCAATAAAAATAAGAGTACAGTCAAAAACATGTATTGCCTGTGGCCCCTAGTCGCCCAGATAGTAAACGTGCTATCAAATGTAGTTGAAGAATGAAGGCTCTGCTAGCTGGACTGGCTGAATACTAATTTTTTTGTCCGTTTCACAATATTTCTTTATCAGTGCCGTGTGATCATGGGGTTAGGTGAGGTAATGAGCGGTTTTGCAAACCGATTTTTGAAAACATTTTCTAGAGATCAATTACCCTAACACCAAACTGATATTTTTGCACTCGATGCGCGTTTCGCTAACAAGGTTAGCATCTTCAGGAGAAGCAAATTGATACTGAATCTAAAGACAAGGGTTAGCTGTTCATATACCTAAAGTTTTTTGGTCCAATATGGACTTTGTTTGTTAAATGATGACTATCCTAATTGATTTTTCGGTAATTAACTAGTAGAACCACTACCTGCAAATTGATTTGTCAACAATAGATTAAAAAGCGGACAAATTCGTCTGCTGATTACCACGAAGATATGACTGCAGCTTTATTCGAAACCTGGTTCAGTGAGCAGCTTCTCCCAAATATTCCTCCAATCTTGGTTATTGTTATGGATAATGATTCGTATTATTCTCGGTTATTGACTACAATACCAAACAATAACACGAAAAAAGTAGATATTGTTGATTTCATGCGAAATCATGACATGGAAATACCCGAAAAGATTCCAACGAAAAAAGTTTTACTGGCGACCATAAAACAACGTAATTTCAAAAAAGAGTATATTATTGATTCGATGTGTGAAACACGTGGTTATATTCTCTTATGTTTGCCTCCATACTATTGTGTCTTCAATCCAATTGAAATGGTTTGAGCTACAATGAAAGAAAGCTTGCGAAAATGTAATCAGTCACCGACTTTAAATGCTGTAGTGCTTGACAATATAAGGCGAGTGGTGAATGAAGTAGGTAATAGTGATGTGTGGAAGAAATGTGTGGACCACGTTATAAAAGAAGAGAACAAATATGTGCAAAGTTCCATAAATCCAAATATAGAGAAGAAGAATTTTGATTTTTCTAGCAATTTTGTTGGCCTCTATTATTTTGTAAATATATGTTTGACGAGAATTCGGTGTGATTATTTGGGTTTTCATTGTATTTTAGAGTTTTCGACTCGGAAATCAACTACCTTGAATTTCGAAGTTTTTCATAATTACCCATGGTGGAAAAATTCAGTTGAGATAACTTTTTCATGGGGTGATCAATTGCTATGATTGTAAGAATAAGTAACTGAAAAACTGCCACTGAAAAATGAAATGCCGACGCTTAGGTCGAGGCGGGAATTCCTTCTCTGTGCTGTTCCAATTGGTATTGGAAATACTATACGCCATAATTAAAAAAGTGGTATTTGTTTATTTGCGTGTTGTTTCATCTCAGTGATGTAATATCGTATCAATTTATCATTCTCTCATCGGAAATCAATGGCTTTAAGTTTTTTGAGTAGGCGTTCATAATTCATCGTATCAGAAGCTTTGGCTGAAACAACAATACATGGATTGTTATCATTCATATATACGATATATGGTCTGAATTATTTACAGGACAGACTTTTAAAGCGAATAATATATTTTTCAATTGTGTAGCTCATAATTTTCTCACAAACTTTGCCAAACTCAATAATAAAGTAATAGGTTTATAATTTTTCATCTAGTTTCTATTACCATTTTTATAAATTGGTTTCATTATACTAAATTTCAATGAACTGGGAAATAACCCCAATTAAACAATGTCACTAATAAGATGAGCTAAAGGATTTGAAATCAAATCCACTATGGTCAATAAAACTTTTGTTGTTATAACATCTTTGCCAGACTTTTAAAGCTTCTTATTGTGTTTTCAAATTTGTTTCTTCAAAATAATGGAATCAAGACTCAGATTAATAGAGATTAATATATCGAAATTTAGGTCGAAATATCTCCTCAATAGTTTTCACTTTTGATTTCTACTAGAGTTTTGATATATGAGATGTTTCTTCCCCACTTGGGGCTTTGTTCACGAGATGGAGTTACTAGTTAACAATCTCTCTCAGACGTAGGTTTCATATATGTAGCAGAGCCGTGTTGAAATTAATCGAGTCCTAAACACTTTGCTGTCTGGGTAAGATCTTTCCTGTACTGACGAGAGGTAATACTTCGAAACCGCGGTCTGCAGGTGATCTACTTTAATAATTTCAACATGGTCCTGCTGCTGGATGAACAAGAAACATCTGCGAGACTAGCCTCTGTGAGGAATGCTGCATAAATGTCTGCCAAACATAATGCAATATCCAGCATGGTATTAGCCGGGGAAGTGTTTGTTTTTCGACAGTCGTTTACACCCTACTGTGTAGGTAGTTGGGAGAGATTAATATTTCGAAATTTATTTTGAAATACTTATTTCCTTATTTTACTATTATAACTATTAAATAATTCATCATGTCTCCCAGGGGTTTTATTTATCCATATATTAAGACAATCAGCTACTTCATATGTAATCAAGTGAGATTGGCATGATTGGTGCTAGCAATTCATACGTGATTACTTCTCAGTGATGTCATTAATTTGAAACTTCTGAAATTTATTTCTATTCAGGTACGTGCTGGCAATTCACAGTTCCAAGAAGTTGGCAGCGGAAAACATCCAACCGCCCAACTACATCCTAGCCGACGCGATAATATCCCTCACCTTAGCCAGAGGCCAACGCCACGAAGGCCGAGAGGGAATGACGGCTTACTACCTCACCAAGGGATGGGCCGGTCTCGTAGTGATGGTGGAAAACAGACACGAGAACAAGTGGATCCACGTCAAATGCGATTGCCAGGAGAGCTACAACGTCGTGTCGACCAGGGGAACCTTGAAAACCGTCGATTCCGTACCCCCGCTAACGAGGCAGGTCATTATCGTGCTCACGCAGCTGGAGGGCAGCGGAGGGTTCTCGATCGCTCACCGGTTGACGCATCGACTCGCAAACTCTGAAGGACTTCACGATTGGGGCCCGATAGGATGGAGCCACGATCCTGAGTTGGATTATCAGACTAACGGTTTGCACTCTCCGCGATTGTTTTAAATTGTTTCTATTCATCGAATCTCTCGTTATTTGTAGTTATTTGTTAAATTATCTCTACAAATAGTCTCTGGTGCTTGTCAGTATGGTTATCTCATGATGGTGCCTTTTTCAATTTTTTTTTTCATTTTGAATTAAGTTATGGAATCAAACTTTCAAGTTTCGTTACAGTTTCGGTTTATTTGCTTCAATTTAATTAAGATATGAAAGAAACTTTAGTAATCGGGTTGGTAAGTTGAACCTCCCCTGTAAAATAAATTTTTAAATAACTTTTCTCGACTCAAAAATCCAGAGAGGTGAATATTGGTTTGTCTTTTGAAGGTTAGGTTTAACTAAAAATCATATGGTTTCAACACTAGTAGCGCCATCTGTGTATTAGCCTACGACTTTTTAAGCCAATCTAGTAGGTATACAAAGTAGGTTAGAGAGACTCAAATCGTAATAAGCCGCGAATCTCAAGTTAGGACTTACCAACCTGCTACTGTACAAATAATGTTTGTTTATTATTACATCTACCTAAGTACCATATTTGGAGAGAATACACGAGATTTTCGCACATTACTACACTCAAGTTTTAATATCGTTCAGTAGATACTGAAAGTTCCTGGAAATCGACAAGATGTTCCAGATAATTATTTTAAATGGTTTTACTTTTTCTCAAGACTGATTATCGTTGCAATTATTTTGTACTCTTTATCTTTTTACTATAAACAATTTGTGATTTTTACTTGACGAATTATAATAGGTGACTTGGTTGATTTGTGATAATTTGTCATACTTTTCCGACTGCTTATAAGGTGTGTGTTAGTGAAACAATTTTCTAGATTTTTCTAAATCAGATTTTCCCTGTTCACGTCAAAATGACATTTCATTTCTATCCGTCGCCAATGTTCGAGATTCTCAAAATTTGGTGTTGAAATCTAACAGAGAAAAAAAAATTGATTTCCGAAAGAGAATGTCTAATATATTGCACCTGATGTTCAGAGAACTATAGGAATGTATGACGTGGATATCTAGTACATATCTATGGGACGAAGTGTATTTTTTTCATTTAGATAATGTAATCGACAACTGTGAATAGATTTTTGTTAAAAATGAAGTTTGGATTTGTTAATTTTTTGTTTTTATTTCGCTCTCAAATATAAAACTTGTTCTTTGTTATTATACAGGATATCCCGGGACTTGCGTATTAAAAAGCAAACATTCATTTATGGAATCAAAAGGATCTTGCATAGTTTGATCTTGATGTATAATTTTTTTATAGCGACCCCAGAAGTTTCGTGTTTTTCCTAAAGTTTCATCTGAATTCGTTCCAATCTTCTCAATAACTTTTTGAAATTATGATTCATTCATATAATAATTAACTGAATGTAAACGATAAAACGCTGGATCTACTTTTGAGTAACTGTGAGGTCGGTCGGTAGCCAGGCGGTTCGACGTGGGTGCTTTGTTTACTCACTCGAATTGACTGCCATGTTGGTCGGTGGTTCAAGCCCTAGTCTGAACGATCGATTTTCACTTGCTATCGTCTAACCCGTGTTAGGAATCACACGTTAAAAGGTAAGAACTCGTTAAACCTTAGCTCGCACAAGTTTCGACTTCTAAGGGTTGTTGTTCGTAGGGGTGCGACAGCTGGTTAACGGAAAAACAGATTTTAAAACATCATCCCTTGACAGAATTTGACTTGAAGAAAAATATAACCTACGGAAAAGGGTATTGAATAATTTAGAAAATAATTAAAATTTCCAAAAGGCCGATTTCAGACTACTATATGAACTTCTGAGAGATTTAGATTGGTCAATACTAGGTCAATTTCAACACGTCGATGACTGCGTATCATATTTTTATCAAGGATTCTATAGCATTCTTGATATTGCTGTACCGAAGTACCCTGCAAAGTTAAAACCCAGAAAAATATATCCACCATGGTTCAAGTCAGAAATAAAAGCTGATGTGAGAATAAAAGAATATTTTACAAAGAAAAAACATTCGTCAGACTTATATTTTAATAATTTCAAAAGAGTTAGAGCCGAATTGGAAAAAGATATTAAAAATGCCCGTAAAAAGTTTCTTGAAAATATTGAAAATTATGATATATTTTGGAATTTCCTCAAAAATAGACAAAAAACGAGAAATTGTGAAAATAAATTCATCATGAATAACCATAAACTAAATGACAATAACATTGTCTCACAAGAATTTGCGGATTATTTTTGTTCTGTCTATGAAAACAATACTACATACAATTTAAATGAAATACGGGAAAAAAAATCAGAAAACTGGCCAGAGGACACACAGACTATACATTTTGACATTTCGTTACATAAATTAGAGCAAGTTTTTTCGGAAATTGAAACCAAAAGAGGTCATCCGGACCAGATAATATCCCTTGTTATATCGGACCTTGAAAACAAAAATTGACATTTTTCAGTTTGACCATTCAAAGTTTTTGACGCAGCATTTTGGCCAATATCTTAGCAAATAATTGGAAATTTTCAGAGTTCACCAGCATTATTTCACCAAAAATTATTCGGTGGAAACAAATTTGTTGACTTTCACAACAAAATTATTTGAAAACATGGAAGAAAAAACTCGGGTAGACTGTGTCTAAACTGATTTGCAAAATCATTCGTTAAGGTTGACCATGATACAAAAATTTTTGTTGGGGTCTGTAAGGGTCGTAGTATGGGGTCTTTCATTAAGCACTTTCTATCTTTAAAATTGTATGAGATATCATCAAAATTTTTTATTCGTTTGAAAGGCCTGTTGATGCCACTATATGTGGAATATAACGTCGTTCAAGTGTCCGCTACGGCTTTTCTAGATGGAACGCATCTGAAACGTTCAATTTGTATGATTCTGGCACATAAATCAGGCTGGGTTATGTGGGCTTTGAGTACCGCTGTGGTTTGTGGCTTATTCACATACACCTGCGACTTGAGAAAACCCCACAAGAAAAAGTCTAACGGGGTCAAATCAGACGATCTCTGTGGCCAGCTCACTTCTACGTGAGATGACCATGCCCTTAAATTGCTTAAATCCAATGTGGCATGAGCTGTGTTGCCACGCAGCGCCGTCCTGTTGAAACCACATGTGGTTGGTGTTCGATCATATTCAATTCAGGCCAAAAGAAGTTGGCAATCATCGACCTCGCCGTTGACAATGCCGCCGTTGACCAATAACTCCGCCAGCTCAAAATCCAAACCAAACGGTGACTTTTTTGGAATGCATTGGACGCTCTTGGATCTCATGTGGATTGGTATTGTTCCAAATTTGCCATTTTTGTTTGTTTACGTACCCATTCATTCAGAAATGGGCCTCTTTGCTGAAGAGGCCCAGGTCTCTTTTTCAGATGAAAATTAGGGTTAGTTGCCAACTGCTCCAGAGTCCATTCAGCAAACACACGTTTTCTATGGTCCTTCACCTTCAGTTTCTGTGTCAGTTGATTTCTGTACGGGTACAGGCCCAAGTCACGATGCAAAATTCCCTAAGTTGTGGTCTGCGAAAGGTCGAGTTCTTATGAGCGACACAAAATCGACTGCCTTGGATTCTCCTGCACACTCTCACAGACAGCGGCGATATTTTCGGCTGATCTAGTTTCAAAAAGATGTTTGGATGTCCGTATAATTATAGAGGTTTTTTAAATAGTGTTTATGTAAATATCTTCACAATTTACAAAGAGTTTGAATATTATTGAGTTTAGTTTATTAAACACTGAAAAATTTCGAAATTTTAAAGGATGTTTCAACTAAGCAGAAAAAATTTCGTAAACAACTGTTAACTTTGGTTCCATTCAAATGATATGGCTTATTTAGGACTTGATTTCTGGGATACCTTATATTATTCGGTGTATCCCAAAGCCGATTAATCGCAAATGGGTATTTTTTGGTACTTTGCAAAATGAATTTGAACTGCCTGATAGTTTTTCAAATAAATATCTGATTTTTTCTAGATATCCTGTTCTTGCAACACTTTGCTTTTATAGATTGTATTGCATAATTTGGAGAATTGAAATGAGTGACTACTTGAGAAAAATTTCAATAATTGAGTCAACAAAAGCATTTGAAGTATAATTTCACATGTGAATGGATCGATTAAAGTATAATCTGAATATGTAGTGTACAGAAATATTTACCGGAAATGAAAGTATTTGCTCATTTTCGTTCTAGACCCAGTGTGTGAACTCCCAAGAAGTTGTTAATAAATTTGAAAAATCGAAGTAATAGTCGTCTTTTATTTTCCTTCGGTCCTGTTTACTATTTCAACGGCGTGTCAAAGCTATCTTTTGGTTTTGATGACCTTGATCTGCAGGTTTTGTGCCTGACGTTTCGTCAACAACTGCGGTAAACATTTTCAAAGACGGTGAGGAGGCAGTGCACAATGTGAATGCTACATTGTTTGGGATTTAGGTCTCCGATTTTACACCAAAGTTCGAAGTCATAGTAAAAATATAATTCATTGTTCTACGATTCATATACTTTTGACAAAACTTGGGTAGTCATAGATATCGAAGAAATTTAATAGTACTTAGTCACATAATAAGTAGGTGACCTCAAAGGAAGTGATATGGTCTACTTTGGCTTGATCTAATATGTCTAAAATGAGGGGGTAGACCATATCACTTCCTTTGAAGTTTCGACAGCTTTCGATGTGTGCCTAAATCAGAGCTACCTACAGTTCAACAACAAATTTTATAAACAGGATTCAGGTTTACTAATGGGCTCACCCCTCAGTCCACTTTTAGCAGACATATTTATAAACAGCTTGGAGACCACTATAATAAATTCCGACCTGGGTAAAAAAATATTCATTTTTGGTAGTCAGAAAACAAAGCCGCAAATTCACTTACAGATTAATAGACAGACAGACAGACAGAATTTATTTAATTATGTTATGCATACAATAAATACATTTATGACAAAAAAATTTATACAAAAAAATTTTGAGGTTGAGAAGAAGTAGATACCCCCTTTTTATTGGTCTGTTCTTCCAAGAACCTCTTACCTTTTCGAAAGTCAAACCTTTCAAAAGCTATATTTCTAGGCCAAAGGTTAGGATCATAGATTGCTTGAAGGTTATCTGGGATCACTCCCACCATGAAGGACTGATTATTGACGCGGGCATCAGCAAAGTCCAGCTTTTTGACATTGATGTCTAGAGAGTTCGACCCCCTTTTTTTTTCAATGCCAAAGATAAGGTGGACAAGTTGGAGAAACCTGGAGTTTATAAGCTCAAGTGTCCGGAGTGTAATAGTGTTTATGTGGGGCAATGTGGTCGAAATTTACAAAAACGCTATGCTGAACATGAAAGGTCCTTCAGACTAGGAAAAAATGATTCGACGTATTCAAACCATTCCTTGCCATGCAACCGCAAGTTCTCGAATCTAAACGATACGGAAATTTTGCACTATGCAAGGAAGGGTTACAAACGCAATTATTTAGAATCCTTGGAAATTCGTAAGCATAAACATTGAGGGTGCAACCTGTTAAATGATCAAAATCGATTTAGTTTACTGACCGGTTTTCGAATTAGCACATCTGCATTGTATATTGTAAATTTAGGTACTCAATCAAGCCAAGTACCTCTATTATTACCTACAAGGGTGCTATGTAAGGGCTAATGTAATAAACCATTGCTAGTTTAATGTATAAGTTTGAAAATGTCCTTATAGGACGAATCTGCAGTAACGTTAGTTACAAATATAAGTGGTAAAAAACATACAAATTCAATTCTCTTTTCTTCATTATGATTTCCTGCCACGTAGTAACGGCTACATCCTTCAATTTAATGGCTGTTATCAATTGTCAAAGTTCGGAAGTCCTTGNGGGATTAATATTATTTCATATTATCTCATTTCAGGATTGTTTTGCTTAATATAATTGTTATTTTCGACTATTCATTTTTAATTCTTCTCTTTCAGTTGTTTCAGGGATTTCAAATCATTTTATATAGTAGACAATGGAAGTCCGAACTAGTGAAAGTCATCTCCTGATTATGCAAGTTATCTCCTGATAACGCTAGTCATTTCCCGATGATGCTAACTTGGTAAGCGAAACCTGTGTCAAGAGGCAGTAAGTATTTTTGTTCTGGAGAAGAAAAAGTATTTTTAAATAAACCATAGGGGAAGTAGGCAGTTAAATTTTTAGAAGGAGATTATTAGTCTGTGGAATATTTAACTTTTACTGAAATTATCAAACTATTTGATTTAACTTAACTAAATTGCTGTGTTAGGTTTAGGTTGGGTCAAAAGTGAGTGGGTTTTTTCAACCCTTCACCGCAACCCGCAAGGGTTTACTCTGGCTCATACCTATTCACACTCGACCAAATAAACCCAGCTCTTAACGAAGCCGATTAGTTTGGATGGTGAGTGGTCTTTCAAGTCACATGGTAAGAGTACAGCTCTGTCAAACTCTGAAAACTTGATTAGGTCTTCAGCGGGGCAGGCACAAAGTATGTGCTTCATCACACACTGTCTTCCGACAGTCCAAGTCTCTGCATATGATGATGCAAATAACAGTGACCTATTAGACATCGTAGCTCATCCCTACTATAGTCCAACAACTGGTTGGTATCGAGCTTCAAAGGGTGAATTCTGCCAAAAGTTCATAAATCTTCTTGCCATCCAGGTGTTCAATCTTTGTTTGGCAAAGCTTGAAGCGATGCCTATGACAGGTTCTGGTCCGATGAAGTTGCTTGCAGCACCCTCCTTTGCAAGAGAATCAGCAGCCTCATTGCTTTCCAAGCCAGTATGACCAGGAATCCAGACCAGAGACAACTTTGTTAAGTCTTCACATCTGGAAGAGTCGTTTTTGGCAATTTGCTACCAATTTAGACGTTGCTCTGTAGGATCCAAGAGCTTCCAACGTCGCTTGACTGTCCGATAATATTTTTATTGCCTTGTGTATGACGTTGGATTCTTTCAATCTCTCCGCACAAAATTCAATAGCGTAAATTTCCGCTTGAAATACAGTCGCATAGGTTCCTAGGTATGTCTGCGACTGAAAACACCTGCACCAGAACCTGAAAGCGTTTTTGATCCATCTGTGAACCAACTATCTGCTCTTAATATTTCCTTCTACCGGAAGATCCAGCATCTGCTGTGTATTTGGATGAAATAATAAGTGTTCTACTAAAATGAAAAAACCACATGTGGCGTACAGAAATCTACCAAGGGTAGATATCTCAGAAGGAGCTTTTTTTCTACAGGAAAACTTGGATTTGCTGTGATGGTTTGGCCCGATTGCAGAAATTTATAATGAATAAAAACCTAACAGTCGCCGCTTGGGAGTAGGCAGATAGAAACCAGCGACGAGACCTGGGGAGTAGGCAGTTTGAGACCCCGACGTCAAGTCTCAAAACATTTACAACGTGTCACTACCAGTGTAGTCATGCTTCTTGAAAATTGCTTGAAAGTCGAATAACTAAAAATACCGGACGCAGTTCAACCCGGATTTAGGAAATATAATTGAATTGTTTCGTTACTTTCAATAAGCTTTAGTGTTATAAATTATTTTAAATACATTTTTTGTGATCTCTCTGTGAGAGGTCACCTTGATGACTGTGCATGAACCTTCTTGTGGATCCATAGATATCACACCACAAATACAATATTTTTCCTTGTAAATGTTCACTTCTGTCAACCATGTTCGCGGTATTCAAAAAATAAACACATTCAGTTTGAACGTTTTATTACATACTTATCTGGTTCTTATGTTAACTTACAATCTACATCACATAAAACTTGATATTTACAGCAAATATTTACAATAAATATATTCACAATGGCAGTTACAGTCAATATGAAAAGGTACACTATGCGATTACCGCCGCGCCGGTCATACTTTTTTTTTGATAAAACCAGTCATAGATCAATATTTTGCAGTTATACCTATATCTTACCAGGTCGCGAGAGAATTTTGAGAATGTATTATCATTTTTGACTGTCACACATGAATTTGATTTACACAACTAGAAAAATTGACGTACAAAAATGGAATATGGTATTTGGAACCTGGTTCAATTAAAAACTGCCTTCTTTTGGGATACAATCTATCTTCTATCTAATAGTCTTTCCTGATCTATGACTTGTCAGTCCCCCTAATACCGATCTGTATCCACCATTGTTGTTTCACTAGGTATGAAATATTTTCCTAGGAGATATTCTCTCGATTAAAAAAATTATATATATACGTTTTGTACAATCACTTGAATCATCTTTTTGCTCCAAATTATACGTATTATACGTACTTGAAAGCAGAAACCTCAACCACTTCTTAGCACGGTCATTATTGAATCAATGTTCAATAATTAGTAATTTCTTATCATTGAATCCCTACATAGAGAGTTGGTTTTGTTATTTTAAATCGTTGGAGAAAAATTATGCCTTTGGAAAAAATTATGTAACCACACTTCCTGTTTGAAATATCAAAGGTTTCCCACTATAAGTTTGAATTGACAGATCAAAAAATCTATTTACGTGGTTTTCATTTCGATCCATCACATACAAAAATATTCCACACAGGTCTGGCTTAATCTCATCTTTCATTGATTTTCAGAACGTCAAGAGGTATCTTCCGACACACACCATGTCAAATACACTAGTTATGTTTGTACTTTTCGAACATGGCTACTACGCAATTCCTAATTCTTAGGTTACATGGTTTGCTGTTACTATTCTAAGTACTAGGATAAAAGCAAACCTGGCAAGTTCTCGACCTAACACGAGAAATAGATGAATAAGGAACTTGAAATTCGGAAGTCCTCAGTTTTTGTTCCCACCGACCGGAACGATCCCCTTTTCTTCCCCATTCTGGAACAAACCGCCATTTGCTTCGACTTTCTTCATCATCTGATTTGGTACCTCGTAACCATCGTTCTCCAAAACCGGCTCAGGATCATTTATCAATTCCAGATAAGTGGAAACTTCCTCAGCAGGTGAATTTTCCTCTTTCAAAAATGGCGTCTTTTCTTTGGTGGCATCGTCTTCGTTGTCGCTCTTCCAAGAGTTACCTGGACATAGAGCGAACTTCATTGACGTTTTCGAAAGGATTCGATTGTATCGATTGATAGTTGATTAGTATTTTAATGAAGATGCATTTGATTACCTGAATCGTTATGATTTTCATCCCGAAAATAAGCTTCATTCGATATCCCAGCAAACACTGCAAAGCATTCAATGAAAACAATGAGGATTAGTTTACATGCTTTATGTCAAGCTTGTTAATGATTATTCAGGCAACATTCATAATTTTCTATCAGTCAAATATATAACTGGATATAGCTCTCGAGTGTCGACCATTAAAGATCAATGGACTGGTCGGAGAGAAAAAGAGGATATCACAAACTGGTGGAAATTATTGAAATGAAATATCACAATATTTTTTTCCACACCTGCATTAAAAAAAATGCATGGTCATTTTGGGAGCAAAATAGCTTATTTTATTCAGTGCATTAAAGATTCTCTTCAAAGTAATCGGTAAGTTGTGTCAAGAGTTACTGACAATTATGTAGCTAACTTTTGTTTTTTGCTCTAAGAAAAGGACGAGCTGTCTCTATCCCTTTATGAAAACGTCTGCAGTCAAGGTCAAATAAATAGTAACCAATGAGTGAGCCCTGTATTTGTTCTGAGTCTGATTTTTTGAATTAGTTATTCTCAACAGATCTTTTTATAATGTTTTTTTTGCATATGCTCCTGGGTGTACTTCCCTATCTGGTTCAGGCCCCAAATATGAGCCATATATTTTTTCAGTTTTTATTCACTAACAATACATTACAGACAACTACTGAATTGACCGTATTCACGTAAAAATGGTTGTGCATGATCGTGATATTTTCGAGAGTTGCATGCTTGGCAACACTGATATTCGACGTATAATTTCAAGAAGAAGACATGTAAAAACTTTGAATTTCACCGCTTTTAAATAACTTAATATTTTCTTCATATTTCATCTATGTCTAACGCAAGTAAAGTTTATGAATGCTTCAATTGAAAACAATAAACATATTGGTAGGTGGAATTGTTGCATGTATTAGATATTTAAATATACAATATAAACAAAATACTAAATCATTAAAACGCGGTAAAATTCAAAATTTTTACATGTCTTCTTTTCAATATAATACGTCGAATAACAATTTTGCCCCTCATAAAACTATCGAAAATACCAGAAACACGGGCAACCTTTTTTACGTGAATATGGTCAATTTCGAAGTAGAAAAAACTGAAAAATGCCAACCTGAAAACATGAAATGAAAAATAATTTCGCTGTTAGGGTTTAACATCTTGAAAATTATCATTTTCTTAGGTTTCGATAGTTTTTAGTTTGATATTATAAACGAGTTTCGTTCTGATGCACATGCTTGAGAATATTTTCATGAATTCACACATGATGGATATTATGTGCCATACTGTCATACTTCTCCAGATGCTTGATTGATGTAGGTATGGCTTTGAACAACATTGTTTTCAAAAGAAAGGAATTTTGAATATGCATAGCTCTGACTTCTTTTACGATAATCCACAAGATTATTTTTCCAATCAATGAAGCAAAGAAGTTTTTCTGAAGTACCAACTGGAGAAATATGAAAGAACTGCTTAAACTTTTGATGAGAATCCGAATTCAAACGTCAGGCATACTTACGATCTGGTACAGTGCTGATATATTGTCCCTCATGAGCTCCTGTAGTTGGATTCCTCAGCGTTCTTCGATGTAACTCTTCTAGTACCTCGAAACAGTACTTGAAAGTGGGCCTACTTTCTGGTTCAAACTCCCAACACTTCAACATCAGTTCGTGGCTAAAAAGCAATGATTTTCAAACATTTGAGTATAGGTAGAATATATGAAATTCATTTCTAGAAACGTTAGCAGAATGAAAAATTAAACAGAAATTTGTGAACCAACTTTGGAGAGAGCGAAAAATTATAAATTTTTTCGATGCTTTCAAAAATCATTTAAAAAGCACATGTGTAGATATTGTTCCTTAAGGTCCCATTTAGGTCAATTAAATTTCACATATATGCAAATTCTCGTTCCAGTTCAAATTTGAAAAGAGAAGCTGAAATTTTTGAGGATGACACATCTCTTGTAAGAAAATGATAAGAGAAACCTAAACTGATATTTTGGGGGATTTTTTCAGAAAATATAAATTTGGTCGGTATGTCATAAACCTTCTTAAATTTTGAGAAATTTTCATTGTGTTTTTTTGAAACAAATAACAAATATTTCAGTGCATACATCATACATCTTCTTGATTCCCTCAATGATTTCCGATTACAATTTCTGCTTTACAATTTATTACTTACAGTTCTTCAGGACAGTCGGTTGGCTTCCCTAGCCTTCCACCTCTTCTTACATAATGCAAAACCTCCAGATTAGCCCTGGCTGGATAGGGCTGTTGACCCAGAGTCATTATTTCCCAAAGAAGCACCCCAAATGCCCATACATCTGACTGGCTAGTGAAAACACCGTCCACTAACGATTCCGGAGCCATCCATCTAACAGGCAGAAGACCCTCTCCTTCCTAGGAAATAAAATCTTTATAACACATCATTTCTCTGGAAGTGACAGAAAAAAATCACTGATCCAATATTCAAGATGATAATTAAATATTTCCACAATAAATACTATATTTCCAATACGCGTTTCACTACATAGTAGCATCCTCAGTTGGATTGCTACTGCACTCACTAAAAATATATCCTTATTAATAAATATCACTAATTGGTAAACAGTGCATCAAACAACAGGTAGTTTTAAGAACAGGTATCAAACAGGTACAAACCAGGTAAATTATTGTTATCAATGATTTTTTGTGTGTAGTATGTCGATTCTGGTTTTGAAATTCCTAGATGTTCTTCAATATAAACTTTAGGGATCGAGCCACACTTTGGCTAGTAGGTATATCTTTTCTGATGCATTTCCTGTATACGTCAGTGTTTTGGAAGTTGGTATCATCTTTGATGTGAGGGTATAATTGTTTACCGGCTTGTTTTTTGTCGAGGATGTGATAAATAATACCCGGATTGAAGTTGTTATTTACTGCCATCTTTTTTCAAATTTAATTCTTTATTAAAATTCTCTGTGGACACATCACGCTGTGGTAAACTGCTAGTTTATGTTGATAGGAATGATGAGAATGAGTGTCTGTATGGGTTGCCCAAATATCAAAAATGGTCCCATGGTGGTGCCGCTCTTGGAACATCAGCTCAAGATATTCGGTACATCCCTAGGATGTACAGTTTTGATACAGTGGACATCCTACGGATATTCTTGGGACGTACAAATGCCCCGATGTTGAATATCATTTGAACGTCCGCCATGGACATCATCTGCACGCCCTCCATGAACACCAGTTGTATACAGTATAGTCCATAAGACATATCGTTTTAGCTCAGTTGACATTCAATGGCCGTCGTTGTTGATGTACAGTTTCAGTTCTGTTGACATTTATTTTCATGAAAAATTTACTCGAGTTAGTCGAATCATTAGTAACAATAATGAACCTGCTTTGTAGCTACCAGCTACATGTTCATGAAATTATTTAATTACTAATCAGGAATCTCTATTGATTAGAGGATGTTAATGTTATTGATTTTCACCATGTGAAAGATCAGTGTAAAAAAAATACTAATCCTGTAGTGAAATTCTAGAAGCAACGGAAACTTCAAGCGTCAACTCGACTGAATTATTTGTAGAAGACAAGGATAGTTTAGAAGTGAACCATATAGGGTTTCATTTAAAAACTTACCAGGTAAACAGACGTCAAATTGTTGATTTAATATAATATTTTACAACTAATTGAATGGAATATATAGTAAGTATAGAATTAGTTATACATGAGCAATTCTTACCTTCCTGTAGTAGTCATTCTTGTAGATGTCTCTGGCGAGACCGAAATCTCCGATCTTAACAATCCTTGAATCAGCGTCGCACGAAGAAACGAGGCAGTTGCGACACGCCAAATCTCGATGGACGAAGTGCATTTCCTCCAAGTATCTGCAACCTTTCGAAACATCGACGCACATCTTCAGAAGCTCGATCAATGTAAGTGATGGAGTTTGTGTCTAAAAATGAAATGATCATGGATTAGTCAACTACCAGAGAATCATCAGAAATGCAAAATTAATATCTGTAGGGTTCGTGCCGATCGCACGAAGGCCGGTCTTTTAGAAACCTAACAACACCGTGTACCATTTTGAGATTATTTCTCTTCTAAGTACCGAACGAGGCTGGAGGATGATACTTTTGGCTAACGGTATTTCAACTATTCTGAAATAGTGCGGGACCTACTCAATTGATGAGCCATTAAAAACAAAAAGATGCTTCAGATTATGTTTATATTACAAAAACAAAGAAACAGAATAAATGGGTAAGTACATAGACCACAACCGCGTAGAGAAAAAATAAAACATGGGATTAATACAAAAACAATAAAAACAAAATTTTAAATGAAATCATGTCTATGATAACTGATTCTCAAAAACAAGAATTATCTCGTTATCAACTCGTAAAATGTTATATATTCTCTCATGAGGTGGAATTCTAACTTACACGAAAACCTCAATAATATTATTCAAGCTTGGCGGAAATTCTGAAGTGATTATTTAAACTTGTCTGGCCGTCGTACTATTGTTTAGCTTCAAATACGTGCGTACTAGTACTATAGTATTTACGTATATGAAAAGGGGTATGGTGTCATTTGTTTCGTTTCTGATATCGTCCCCAATACACGACAAAAAATAAGACAAAACAATTACAAAATCAAAATGACATCTCCTTTCTCTCTAAAATAATATGGGGGTTGATAAAAATTCAAATTGACTCATGATACTCTACTGGGTTATCGTATTACGTCTCCTTGGTCTAGCCTGGGTTCAGGCCTTCCTCTTCGGTACGGTATCCTTGTAAAACAATAATCTGTTCTGAGTGCCACCAAACCGAAACACAACAATTGACTCACTGACCGCGATTTACCGTAATTCCACTATAATTAACTTCCGCTGAGAACACTGGACTCTATATAACCGAATCGCTCGATGATCAAATCGCAACAACCAATTCTGATTAACTTCTTGGTTCAATCTGCGAAACTGTCAATTAGTATTCCCCGAGTCCACGGAACCGTCAATAACACTTCTTCCTGTACCCTCCCTTGATTGGTCTGATTTTTTTTAATATTGCCGAATTTTTTCATAACCCTTTATCCTTAAGACCTTTATCTTCTTTTCATAGAACTCATTGGTCAGTTTTTATTTTAAATACATTTTTGGGCCCGCCTATTCAAGTATGATCAGACTTCGCGTCAGCGAAGCTAACTACAAGAACCCTTAGCTTGCATTTTCGCGTTACCAGTATTATAACTCATCGACAGAATACATTTGTTTAGTCTAGCCTAAACGTAACATATCCTCCATGATGCCGCCAAAGTTCGGCAAGTTTCGACCGAATCCAAATGGTCAACGTTCGGCTTACAATAACATCATGAGTTTGTAATTTAAATATTGAGATTGACCGAGATGAGGATATCTGTTTTGAAATAACTTTTTATTTTCTATTAATGAAATTTTACGTTACTACCACAATCGCAGTTATTATAATGAATATACAATCAATAACAACTATTTGGAAAAATGTAAAGGTCATCAAGGATATTTTTACTAAGCAACTCCTTCGTGCTAAGTAATAATAATAAAATTACTCCAAACATCAGTGATAGAAAGATGGCACCAAGTGATAAATAACATCAATTGAAAATTCTGCTTCTGAGGAATTGGTATTATTTCTCATGAATCTTACAACTCACCAGTGGATTCCTCGATTCTCTCAAATAAGTGAGCAAGTCTCCACCTTCCATGAGCTCCATAATTATAAAATGTGGATCGTTATCAAGGCAAACTCCTAAGAGCTGAAGAATATGCTCATGCTTGAAATGACTCATCAATTGCGCTTCTTGTAGGAAATCGCTCTTCTCCTGTTCTGAAGCACCTTTCTTCAGTGTCTAAAAGATGAATAAACGATTACAAAAATTAATCGACTTGATTTGAAAAGGCGGAGTAGCCTACCTTCACAGCAACTTTGGTTTCGGCATTGCTGTTGTCGATTCCTTTAGATTTTCCTTCGAAAACTTCTCCAAAAGCTCCGCTACCAAGGAATTTCGTCAGAGTGATTTGATCCCTGTGAAAATGAGAATATTATTACTATATGAATTACACATTCCTACATGAACAGGTCAGAACTTTCAAATGGAAGTAATAGTCGAGGAGTGCCTCATTTGCGAGGTCTTTCAATAGTTATCCAGCCCTGTCACATTTCTTGAGAATATCAGGTATTGATAACCTGGTTATTCATTTCCTCAAACCATCTTCGTCTCGTAGAACACAAATCTAGAAGAGTGAAATCGGGAAATGTTGGTGGACATTCTGTAGAACCTCTCCTTTCAATCTTCGACCCGGAAAGTTATTATCAACGTATTACGCAATGAGTAGGAGCCCCATATTGTTGGGAAACTACCCTATTTTGCATCAGATGATCTAACTGGATGGCGTTATTAATTTTTTTGAATTTGAAAATAACCGCATCAACCTTATGGTTATTAGCGGCGAATATGATGTTTACAAGGCAGTAACTAGATTAATTACTTCATTATATTTTGTTGGACAAGTTCAGAGCACTTGTGTAATTCAAAATCTTGCTAGCATTGAAATAGCTCAAGGTTTCCTTCGATATTTTGCACATTTTCCTTTCTAATTGAAACACTGGACACTGCACTATGATATGTTGTATTGTCAGTGCAACTTCACAAATGTGACACTGTGGTTGATCTGCTAGAGACATCAAGTATTCGTGAGTGAGTTTGGTGTGTCCTAATGGAAGTTAAGTGATCATAACTTGTTACCGTCTTTTCAGTGCTCCATTAGTTCCCTGGTTCGACTTTGGGTGGCGTTGTTAATGCTTGGCATGATTTGAGTATTCAGCAAATTGAAAGATCCTTCACCATTTAACAGGACTGCTTCCAAAAAGAAAGGTCCTTCAATATGGTCACCCAAAATTTCTGCTCCAACATTTACTGTCTGGGGATATTGGGTGTGAATTTGGCGACTCATATTGGGATTCAAATTACCCTAATATCGAAAATTGACCATCTAGTATCTCATAAAGTACAACTAAGCTGAGAGTCACTATGTCAGTCACAGTGAATTCTTATTTTTGTCATTTTCAATATGAAAAATGAAAAATAAAACTTTATATGTTTTTTAACAAACTCGTACAAGTTGTTGGGGGTGATTGACAAGAGGTTGACTTATATGTTGCAAAGTTTCCTCCTGAAAACCAAAGTTGACGTGTTTCACAGTTTTTAACAGTCTTGATATCAACTGAACTTATTCAGGGCGACTTGTTTCATCTGAAATGCACTGTATGACTTTGGGAAACAAAATATAAAAATATCTCGCATTTTATATTTACCTTCTTATTTGTGGTAACAAACTCAGTTCCTCCAGCGTAGGTTGTATGGATGCATAGAGGATGTTCGTGTTATGAATTCCCCTCCTGGGTAACTCCCTCAAGGTAGCTAACTCCACATCAGACATCCTGGGCAGCGTGGGTATCACTTGCTGCAGTTTCTTTTTCTTGTTCCGTTTTCCCGAGCAACTAACTGCAAATATAAATTATTCGATTATATCAAGGTAAGAATGATGACAAAATAAGCTCCGTTGTCAGAGGAATAGATCTTATTCACGAAGATAGTGTAAAAAAGTAAAAAGGTGTACAGGCATATACTAAGCCTTGGTCAAAGATAGTGCTCCATCAACAGGAAACACACCGCCCAGAACAATAATCAATGAGCCTTCAGTCGAGCGTGACACATCACACCACCCAATTACCCCCACCAATCAGCCGGAACGCCTCCTACCAAACATGCACACCGCCGACCAATCAGGCCTTTCCACGACACAACTACAGACCACGGCAATGTATAAATAGACTAGCATCGACAAGAATGACTTTTTCTCCGAGTTACAGGCTCTAAGACTGGTCGAAAATACCATTCAAGAACTAAACCACAACCGAAAAGTTCAACTTGTCCTTTTGGACATCTCGAAGGCCTTCGACCGTGTTTGGCACGAAGGCCTTCTACACAAACTAGACGCGTTCGACCTGCCTCGGGGACTGATCCGGTGGATCGGGTCCTTCCTGAAAGACAGAACATTTCAGGTCAGAGTAGAGGGCTCCCTGTCTGACAACAGAGAGATCCTCGCTGTGCTCTCTCCCACGTTATACTCGCTCTACACCAGCGTCTTCCCGATGACACAGCTCTCCTCTCATCTTACATGGGACTGGAGCTCGGGATCGTCTATATGCAACGTACATTGGACAACTTCGAGCGCTGGTACCTCGAGTGGAAGATCCGAATGAACCCGGAAAAAACTCAGGCGATAACCATGGGAAGAACGATATCTTCTCCGACCAGGAAACTGACGATCTCTGGAAGGGAGATCAACTGGCAAGCGCGTGTAAAGTACCTCGGCCTTCTAATAGACCGCAGGCTCACTTGGAACCCACACATTATATCAGTTAAAACAAGGATCGAGGGCCGGAAAGCCAGTCTGTACCCTCTGATCAACAGAAGATCTAAAATGAGTCTCAGAAATAAAATTACCGTCTATAACACGATATTCAAGCCTGTCATCATGTATGCTTCAGGCATCTGGGGACAAGCGGCTCCGTTTATTATCTCCGTTAAAAGATGAACAATCTTTTCATCCATCCCACCCCAGACTGGTGTCTGAGGACATTCATGTCGCCATCCTACCATCAGTCATGACCCATTTGTCCCTCTGACAAATATCAGTTGAAAAGGTAAGGGAGCCAGGTTCCAATCTGAACGAAATCAAGATGACGACTTGGTATGAAATGAATTCAATTTCAAGTTCAGCTACCAAGCAGGGCACATGCATATGGCAAGTGGCACCTTGCCATCGTGATAATATCGAAGACGAACGATAATGTACACGAACTCCAAAACTGGCTGTTTCAAAATATAGAAACGTTACTTTGTGGATGTATATCTTGGAAACCATGCATAAAAACCTCTACTTACGGAAGACGAATACCAGAATGAATATAACGCATATGGAAATCGGGACCAAAGTCGCTATGAGGATGAGCTTCATAGGGTTCTGCTTTTCGGCCATCCTGGCAGCCATCGGATCGAACTCGTTGCTCTCTTCACTCGTATTGCTCCATCCGTATGAATTATAAGCCGATACTCGGAAGGCATATTTGTGTTTCTCGTCTAATCCGCTGATTATCCAGGAAGTATCTATGAAAAAAACGGGTATCATTTTTTATGTAAACTCCGGAAATGTTTCGAAATTTCAGACGTTTCGAGACTTATACTCATGTATGGCAAGAGTCAAACGTGATGGCAAGCGATCGCGCAGGTATAGACTATTCTAACTTAATTACTATTGGATTTAGGGTAGCAAATGGAACGTGACTTCTTTGTGATTTATTTTCATATTTTATTTAGTGTTTTAGGTGATAGGCAAGTTCATTAAAATGTTAAATAATGATACACTCTTGATGACTGATTTTTGTATGCGATGACAATATTTCAGAAACAACACAAATTATTCAACAGCATTGGTAGACAAGTAAATATACGCCTCTGTACAGATCATTTGTATGTCTTGCAAAAGCTGTAGGGGAGGTTACATTGAAAATGAGTTTGGGCGCATGGGGGTGGGCCCGCCATCACGTTTGGCGCTTGTTGTATAGCATCTAATAGATGCTAGATTGCTTCAATGTACATTTTTTCAAATTTCGTTATTTTTCACATTATCTTTCAAATGAAGTATCATAAATTGAAATGCGGGACAGTTGTTTTTTCCGCAAAAGGGTACCAAAATGAAAAGTTACATAATGAAGTCACATGGGATGTTGGATGGAATTCTTTCCCCAACTCAACGGTTGATTATTTATTGCAAATCAATTATGTATAATCACAAAAATTATGATAATTGTCATACTTACTTGTTCCGTTGTAAAAAACTCTCCACTCATCGGGATCCTCAAGCTCCACAGATGGCGAAGTATTGTAGAACGGAACCGTTCTGTTGGTGCTTCTTTTCGTTCTGTAAAACCTCAAAATTTTTCCTTCTAGTTTGTACATTTCTACAGGAGCGCCGTTATCTCTGGATGCCTCCCAAATAACTTTGTAGATATTTGGTGTGATGTATTGGATGAGAGGCATGCCTGGGGGACTTGGAACGTCACCTAAAATCAAAAACCATAAGGAATATATATTCCAGGATTGTTAGACGCTACAGGGACCGCTCTGCTGAGATCTATTTATGAAAAAACTCCATCAAATTCAAATGGAACTTTTGTTATTGTTGCCAAAGTTTCAAAAACAATGTCTTCACCGAGACTATCGATAGTAAAGAAGGTAATTACATTTTTTGTTGAGAACATCTATAGATGAATTTTTGAGCATTACACAAAGGATAAAAAGAATAAGAAAGATCATGATGTTCCTGGAGTGTCGAGTGTAGCAGTACTGGTAACAGGCTACTAATACCTGAGAACACCAACAGATCTAACGAACAGACCAATACCTGTGAGGAAAAATAATCATCAATAACCAATAGAAAAATGATATCACCAGTACTACTGAAAAGGTGATGAAAAGGCCTCTACCAGGTGACCAAAAATGACTTTGTCTGTTGAATACAACTAAATCGAAGCAGCAAACCTTTAGTTGTCTTACAGAAATGAGCACTGAGAAGTGTATATGAATTTTAGAGATGTTGACCAGTTCTTAAAAAGATCCTGATATTGTTTGAAAATTTCGTTTTGGACTGTGAGTTTGAAGATCAACAAATTAAGGCATGCCTGTCAAAAAATATCATGTTCTTCCATTCCCTGGTTCATCGCTAATTAAGCAATCTTCAGAATCAAGCCAATGTCAGAATCAAGCCAATGAGTTGTCCTGGACAGAGTTACCGGAAAAGTGGAGTTCTCTTGGGCATATAATCCTGTTAATTGGAGGGAAGCATGTATCTTTCGAGAATGTACTGGAAGCAACGCTTAATCATTCTATAGAAGATGAAGAATACTGTCAGTGGTTTGGTATCCATCTCGTGACAACCAATAATGAAAATATAACTTACCGAGCGTCTCGAATGTAAACCGAGCATCTCCAGGCCAGACGTACATCTCTTCGTTCCCCTCGTACAACAGTTTCATCCTGAACTTGTACGTCATACTCGGCTTGAGATTTTCAACCACCATAACCACGCTTTTGTTAGCCTCCTTCATCTTTTCGATTTCCCGCCAGTCTTCGGTAGTAATCGGGGCGTACACTACCACATATTTTTCTATATATTCGATGGGTTCCCAAGAAATTTCCAGATTGTAAGCGGTTTTTTTCACCAGCTTCAGAATGGGCGGCTCCGGATATGTCGTTATTTTCACCCTGTCGCTGTCATTTGGGGTGTCGTTGTTCTCACTGTACACCCTCACCCAAACGGTGTACGTCTCGTTGGGAGTCAGCTTGGTCAAGAAGGTGGTCAGCGTTTCGGAGTCGTTCACCCTGAGTTCCCCCTTCTGTCTGACGCCGGAGGGTGTGGTTTCTGTCTGCCAATGGACCTCGTAGTGGACAACTGCCGCGTTCAGTTCTTCTGGAGGTGACCATACGACCCGTGCGAGGTTAGGACTGAGGACTATGGCGGATACGTTCCTCGGTTTCGACGGTACTGTAAAAATGAAAAAACATCGATCGAAAATGTCGCCTGTTCAATTATAAGTAAATATTTTTTTATCAGGTTCCTGCGTGAAGAATTATACACTATTATACCGAACAAAAATATCCCTAATACACTAGTGTGAAGGGTGGGTCATCGCATGGATCCAAGGTGATGATACTGTTGGTCCAGTTGGAAAAATTACTCGCATAGAATGTGAATTTGCGCTTTCTAAATCCAAGTTTTTAGTAACACAAGACATCTGTGTGTTAGGGTCATAGAATAGCTTATTGTCGTTCACTCTAAACATTTCTTTTCACAATTATATTCAGGAGAAAAGGTTTTGTATGACAGCAGCACTCATTTATTGTAAAGCGCAAAATATATTTTTTGATATAGAGCACAAACTGTATTTTTCGCTATGAAGTGCAAAATGTATTTTTCCGCTATAAAGTACAAACTGTATTTTTCGCTATGAATTGCAACATGTATTTTTTAACTTTGAAACACGAAATGTACTTTTTTGCTATAAAGTACAAACTGCATTTCTCGATATGAAGCGCGAAATGTGTTTTTGGATATGAATGGCAAAATATATGTTTCGCTTTATATTGCGCGGAATATATTTGTCGTTTTGAAGCGCAAAATGTATGTGAGCGTGAGAAATATATTTTTGCTATGAAACGCAAAATGTATTTTTTCGCTATAAAGCACAAACTGTATTTCTCGTTATGAAGCGCAAACTGTGTTTTATGATTTGAATGACAAAATGTATGTTTCCCAATATATTACGCGGAATATATTTTTCGCTATGAAGCGCAGAATGTATGTTTTCGCTATGAGGCGCAAAATATATTTTTTCGCTATGAAGCACAAACTGTATTTTTTGCTATGATGCGCAAACTCTATGTTTCACTTTATAGCATGAGAAATATATGTTTTGCTCAAAAACAAATGTATTTTTCCGCTATAAAGCACAAATTGTATTTCTCGTTATGAAGCGCAAACTGTGTTTTATGATTTGAATGGCAAAATGTATGTATTTTTTGCTTTGATGCGCAAAATGTATGTTTCACTTTATAGCGTGAGAAATATATTTTTCGCTAAAAAACGCAAAATGTATTTTTTCGCTATAAAGTACAAACTGTATTTCTCGTTATCAAGCGCAAACTGTGTTTTATGATATGAATGGCAAAAATGTATGTTTCGCTATATATTGCGCGGAATACATTTTTCGCTATGAAGCGCAAAATGTAGTTTTTCGCTATGAGGCGCAAAATGTATTTTTTCGCTATGAGGCGGAAAATGTCTTTTTTCGCTTTGAGGCACAAACTGTATTTGCTTTGATGCGCAAAATGTATGTTCCACTTTAAAGCGTGAGAAACATATTTTTTGCTAAAAAACGAAAAATGTATTTTTTCACTATAAAGCACAAACTGTATTTCTTGTTATGAAGCGCAAACTGTGTTTTTTGATATGAAGAGCAAAATGTATGTTTCGCCATATATCACGCGAAATATATTTTTCGCTATGAAGCCCAAAATGTATTTTTTCGCTATGAAGCGCAAAATGTCTTTTTTCGCTATGAAGCACAAACTGTATTTTTTGCTTTGATGTGCAAAATGTATGTTTCACTTTATAGCGTGAGATATACATTTTTTGCTGAAAAACGCAAAATGTATTTTTTTGCTATGAAGCACAAACTGTATTTCTCGTTATGAAGCGCAAACTGTGTTTTATGATATGAATGGCAAAATGTATGTTTCGCTATATATCATGCGAAATACATTTTTCGCTATGAAGCGGAAAATGTATTTTTTGGCTATGAAGCGCAAAATGTATGTTTCACTATATAGCGCGAGAAATATATTTTCTGCTAGGAAAGGCAAATTGTATTTTTTCGCTATAAAGCACAAACTGTATTTATCGTTATGAAGCGCAAAATGTATCTTTCGCTACATATCACATGAAATATAATTTGCGCTATGAAGGGCAAAATATATTTATCCTCTTTAGAGCATAAACTATTTTTCGCAATGAAACGCAAAATTTGATTTTTCGCTATTAAGTGCAAAAATTATTTTTTCGCTATGAAGCACAAACTGTTTTTTCACTATGAAGCGCAAAATGTATGTTTCGTAATATAGCGCGCGAAATATATTTTTCGCTATTGAGCGCAAACTGAATTTTTCCTATAAATCCCGTCCAATTCACCCGAATATTCAAAAAAATGAAATAATTGTTTGTACTGTATTTATAAAGAAAGATAACAAAAGGATAACCAAACTTCTTACGAATAAATAAAATAAAATATTCACCTCCTGGAGCAGTCTGGAACATAGTAGAAGGGCCGATTGTAATACTGTCCCTCATTGTGAAATAATTACTCGCTGACACGGAGATCAAATAATTCGAAAAGGGTTTCAAATTGGTGATCTCTTGAGTGGTATTTGTAGTGATCAAAACCGTGCAGTTGTGGCTGTCGAAACAGTCGAACCCTTCGTCATATATGCTATAGTATATAGTGTATGCTATTGTCGCCATTGATATGTTCGAACACTCTTCATCGATCGAAGGTTTCGGCATGAGCAAAATCAGCGAGTTAGATGTTCTAGCTTTGAGGGAGACTGTGAGGTTTTGCTGTTGTTTTGGTGACAGGCAATTGTCCTGAGGAAATGGTTGCATGTGCTGGCCGTATATGATGAAATCGCTCATTTCAATCTGAAAATTAAAACATTTATGTAGCATTTTCTTCAGTGTCTTGCTCAACTGTATTGAAAAGATATTGGATATTTTGCGTTAGTGGTTTTTTTCTACTCTAAGTTAGAGTAAACGAATATTCATGTGGTGAAGGATGCTCCCATTCACAAGTTGAAAAATCTGTCGATAATTTTTCTCATCGTTGTCTCTTGTAGTGGACCGAAGTCTATTTGTCTACCTCAAATTCCATACCGATCTAGACCACAAGGTCTACAGAGAGATTATGCTTATAAAACCCATGATATTGCATATTATTTTGTCAATGAGCAGACGTACGAAGTCTATTAAAAAAATGAGGCGAATGTTAAAATTTCGTTCATTCTATTAGTGATTTTTTATTTTTTTATGTTGGTACACTGGTGTCGAACATACGATCAGTTTCAGCTCTTTAGCATGTTCAGTTTGTTGGTGGGAGGTAGGTATAAAAGTTAGAAAAACTTTTGCGTGCTAATTGAGTTCTCGAAAACACTTGGAATGTTAACAGTGGCATACGGTGACTGTACTCCGAGTCAGAAAAATATTCACAAGTGGTATAGTCGAAGTAAACGTATTGTGCATAAAGTTATCGGCACTCTCAAAGGCAAAAAAAAAACAGTACATAAAAATGAACCGTCGAATTGGTGGTTCGTATTGGATGATTTTTACTAATCGAGTTTTATGATTGGCTGAAGAGTCATAAAATTAAATTTGAAGTCATGTTACGGTGACGAATATAAATCAGGAATGCGGGGATGGTTATCGCCGTCGTGTTCAGTTCAGGAACTGATGGCGATTTGAATGTTGAAATTCAATATTGGTGCAGTTATAATTACTTAAATTTTTTGTTATCTGTTCAAAATGTGGCGTCCTTGGACAAGTACTAATAGTAATAACGAGTGTGACAACAATGCAGACTTTTTCCTGTGTAGTCATTCCAATAGCGATGGTGAACAATGCGAAAAAGAGATACCAGTGAATAAGATTCGGATGATTTTAAATATTGAAAACAGAGAGTATGTTTCAATGTATATAGTATATAAGAATCTACATCTCAAGTTTGGTTTCGAGGAAAACAAACTATCACAAGCAACATTAGATTTGACCGAAATTCCTTTCTCAACTGTACGTAAAATAGTCAAAAACAAACCTTATGAACGCAAGACGCAAGGTGATACGGAATCACCAAAACCTTCTAATAAAATCATTGAAAAAAACAATATACTACTGTTACAAAAGCAATGAGATTTCTACAATTACTTCCGGCCATAACGTGAGCTGCTGTGACAAAACTCTTCAGATTTTGTTTGAAGGTGATTGACAATGTTTCGTGATGAATTTCACTAGTTCGGACTTCCGGACTTACTTGTTTCAGGGATTTTAAATCATTTTATATAGTAGACAATGGAAGTCCGAACTAGTGAAATTCAAAACTCTTCAGAATTGGACAAAGAAACTAGGATTTAGATAATAAATAAACGTCAAGAAGTTATGGAAAGCAGAAGAATAGTGGAATTGCGTAACGAATACTCAGGACAAATTACTAAATATAGACAAGAACAACGGCAACTTTTCTATTTGGACGAAACTTGGTATGACACTCACGACACAGTTACGAAACGGTGAACTGATGGTTCGACAATATGTTCGCCTAACACGCCTGCAAACAAAATTTGATTGAAAGGCAGTGGAGCTAATAAAAAAAGAGGAAGACTGGCAGAAAAGGATGAAAAAAGTAATTTTAGTTGAACGAAGATTGGACACGTCCATATTAATGGTAGGAATAAATTCATTATCGATTTAGATGAGGACAGTGAAAAAAAAATAAAAATATTGTACATGCACAACATACGTAAATCTCAGATATATTTCAGTTCCAAATGCACCAGAATCATTTCTGTCAGTACTAACAGCATTAAGAAAAAACTAATGTAAATCAAACTGTATAAAATACTCATTTACATCAAAATTATCTCATTGACAGAGGAATTGGGGAAATTTATGTTCCAGTAAGTAAATATAGAGTTCATTTCTATAATCTAACGCGAAAAGAAATTTAAGTGGATTACGAATTCGATTATAAAGCCAGGCCACATTATAAGAGAAGGATCCACGAAATAAAGTGGTTCACTTATGAAACATCCTGTATATGAAAATTTTGCACTGTGTTTTTTCTCAAAATTTCACATAAATACACCAAAGAAATAAAAACCAGAAAAAAACATACCTGCTCAGTCAATAACACCCGGCTCATCCATTCCAAAGCATGAAAGGATTTCTGCTCGGTCCAATATATCGTCCCAAAATCAGCTCGCAAATGTTCCGAAGAGAAACCACCAACAGCGCCATTGAGAGTGTCACCTCCAGCGATCTCTTCGCAATCACAAAAGCTACCATCAGCTCTCAAGATCCTTCGAGATTGCCGCTCGTAGAAAACAACTTTAGGTCTCAGAGTTCTATTGGAACTGTCTACGCAAAACGTCGGGCCAAATTCCGCCATTGAAGGACAGTTGCACGAGGGAGAATTGGAGTTGGTGGAAAACTGTCTAATATTCGATCCAGTGTCGTCGCTCAACATCGCTGAGAAATCTAAGTTGTCCTTGGTTTGGATCCAGAATAGAGATTTCGAAAATGGGGAGACATCTATCTCGGTTATTCGAGCGTCAGCTTGCAGAATTTTCACTGATTTTCCTAGCTCCACGTTCAAATCGACTTTATATACTTCGGTCGTGTTTTGAGTAACGTCCTGTAGGTAATACAGACTCCTCTCGAGCCAGTTAATAGTTAACCCTCTGGCGTCACTCGTAGTTTCAGCAATCTTTGATGGGACCATGGTTGTGACATCAAACGTGTATACTTCTCTTTTTGTGTTAATCCAGAATACCTTTTTTTCTTTCATTAGGTAAGCTACGCCCCTTGGTTCGGTAATACCATCGACCAGTAGGTATTCTCGTTTATAATCTACATCGTAAATGTAAATTGAATTGTGATTAGATGCTAATATGGTAGGGACGGGGTGTTCAACTGCTGTGTCCACCGAAAGAGGGGGGGATGAGGCACCCAATCCTATTTTCGTGAATGCCCGGACCTAAAACATTTAATTTAAGTTATTTTAATATTTTCCAAAATAGATGCTGGTCGTAGTTCTCGATACTGAAGACATCAAAATGAAAAACTTAATAAAATCATTATTTTATTTTCTAGTGGACATAAATATGTTCATGAGAACAACCCAATGAGATTTGTTCTCGTATTTTTCACTGCTGTTTCGGCGGAAAATGTTTCTCTGTCCACCCCATAGATGGCATCTATTCAAGGGGAGATGTCAAGGTCCTCGTTTATGAGGTAGGCTGAAAACGATGGCAAAATTGCATGAATTGGGCTTCGAATTGCTTCAGCAGCAACCGTATTGCTGACTCATTCCTGTTGTTCAATATACAATACACATTCCTAGAAACCATGAACCTAGAGAAAATCCAACACAAAGTATATTACCTGATGCAACTCAAATACAGACAAATTTATCTGCAGCACCGGCACGAAGGCGTTCTGACCACATAAAAGAACAAAGAAGAATATGAAACGTTCAGTAGAGCCTTGAAGATGATAGCACAGCAAGCCATCGAAAGCGCTCGCATATAATAAATAGAAGTTATTGTCTGGAAGCGAATAGTGACCAACTCAAATATTAATTGGAATGAACTAAAGAGAGTTCAGAATACATTTTCTTCAAATTATGATATTTTTAGTTTATTTGTAAATCTTCAAAACTAATATAAAACTGCCAATTACTCAGAAACAACTGATACGATTTTCAAAAATGAAAAAATGTTGGATAGGAAATTGAAACAATAATCAAACGGGTTACCGCAAGATTCCTCTTTGCAACATTATTGTCTTTAACATCGAAAAGTACTAGATATGATACCTTTTCAGTTAATTTATTTCGACTTCGATATTTCGTTCAAAAGTTTACATACGCACTGTAGAGTTAGCTTATACTATTAAAGTATTATTATTAACAGGATCAATCCAAAAACAACACTTGTTTTCTTGCCAATGTTTCGAAGTTGATTAAATTCTTCTTCAGGGCTCTGTAACAATGAATTTTCATAAACGTACCTCCCACAAAACTTATAACTTATCATTTCATTGTTCCGAGGAATCATGAATTCTTGATTAAATCACTCACCGAAAAGTAGCCAAAAGCCCTTGATCGAAAAATAAAACAAGAGTCAACACCAAATATCACAAAATACCATATATAGAAAAGTTGTCTGAAAAACTTGGAATATTACTCAGTAAAGAACATATTGAAGTGACCTTTTCGAATGAAAACACAGTTGGAAAGTATGTTTTCTCCCAAACAAAAACTAAAACACCGCAAGAAATACAATCCAACATAGTGTTCGGATTGAACTGTGAAAGCTGCCACAAATGATATGTTGGTCAATCTTGACGATATCTTACACACGAGTTTTAGGACACATAAGAGACTAAGAAAAATATCAAAAACTTCATAGCCCTTGTTGAACACGAAAAAAAACATGGACACATTTTTGACTTTGAACATCCAACTATTTGAAAATTTGAACTATATTTATTCAAAATAATTTTGAGCGAAGTGATACTCGTATATATCGTCAAACACGATAGTGTTGACACTAGAAGGGTTGTCAAGCTGTCAATACGGCATATTTCAATTCAGTTAGCAAAATACCTAAATAATTCCCCTTTTTTTTCATTGTCATCATTATCAAAGACTCCATCTCAACAGTATCAAAGATAAAGCCATTCGTTTATTTCATGTATTTGTGTAGTATTAACTCAGTTCGGACTTCCATTGTCTAATATAATATAAATTGATTTGATAACCCNTTTATTATTTTTTATTGTTTTTCATTTTTATGTCTGATGCTATCTGGCTTACAGAGACAGGCCTGTCTGGCCATCAGTGGTGCCATCAGTACTACACCGTCAGCGGTCATGGAGATCCTTCTAGATCTAACTCATCTCCACAATATTCTGGAGAGAGAGGCTAGATGGACTGCATACAGAACTGTGCACATTGCCAATTGCACGAATCAATTTGATGCAGAGTGCAACAGATTGTTGGTTGACACTGGAAGTCACAGCATTCTGGAAATGACCTCTGAATTTATGCTTCCAACTGTCAACTATGAACTGTCTTATAAAGTACTGTTCCCGAGTAGAGAGGACTGGATCATCCGGGAGAAGGAAATATCGAAAGCAGATAGTTGTTGGTTCACAGATGGATCAAAAACAACTTCCGGTTATGGTGCAGGTGTTTTCAGTCGCAGACCCAGGACAGAGATATCAAGCTGCCTGTGTGACTGTATTTCAAGCGGAAATTTATGCTCGGACAGTCTAGCGACAATGGAAGCTCTTGGCTCCTACCGAGCAACGTCTAAATTGGTAGCAAATAGCCAAAAACGGTTCTCCTTGATAGGAATACCTCACAGATTGTCTCTGATCTGGATTCCTGGCCATACTGAACTGTAAGGCAATTCGGCTGCTGATTCTCTTGCAAAGGAGGGTGCTGAAAGCAGCTTCCTTGGACCAGAACCTGTCATTGGCATCGCTTTAGGTTTTGTCAAACAAATATTGAATACCTGGATGGCAAGAAGATTTATGGACTTTTGGCAGAATCTTCCAGGATTGGCGTTTATTCACCCTTAGAAGCTTGATACTGAACGGTTGTTGAACTACAGCAGGGATGAACTGAACTACGATGTCTAACAGATCTTCTTACAAGTCACTGTCATTTGAATCATCATGTGCAGAGATTCGGACTATCGGAAGACAGTGTGTAATGTAATGTAATGGTGAGTAATTTGATTAGGAATTCATAATTCTTCGTAAAATTTAAATGATAACAGTTATAAGTTTTGTGGCAGGTATGTTTACGAAGATTCTTTACATTCGAAACATTGGTAGGAAAACAATAGTTTAAAAAAAAATTGAATCACTCAACCAGTTATTTGATCATTATTATCATCACCAATAATGGAACTTACCTCAAAGTGATACAAGCTGTCACTCTCCATCACTTCCAACTTATACTCCGTCTCATTCCCTCGCGTGAATGCGTTGTCGCAAATATTCTCGTCCTTTTCATCAACGTACCAACACCTCAGTTTGAAACCGTGGAGCACTCCGTTGGGATACAGGGGCGGATCCCACCTAATCGTAATCGTGGCATAACGGGGGTACGTGGAGGAATGGGGAAGGTACTCGACGAAGCTTCTCGGGTTCCGTGGTGCCGAAGGGGTTGACGGCGGGGAAAATATTTCGGAACGAACTGGAGGAGCCGACGACCAGTATGTGAACGCTCTGATGGTGACGTTCAGAGGGGTGAAGGGGGTCACTTTCCTCGAGTACTTCACTGTGGAGTTTGTGGTCGTGACGATCTGCAATGATGATTTGAAAGCTGAATGAATTCATCGTGCTATATACAAAATTCAATAGAAATGATTTTAATATCAATGTTCGATTTGTTTCAGACACGGTACCTACTGTTGAATATACAGTGCATTTCTTAAATGCCCCTTTTATTTTTATTTTTAGAAGGGGTCAACTCACAAAATTGAAATTTGGGATGATGAAATTGATGCATGAATACTTTATTATGAAGTGAAATTGACAGATAAAACCTTCAAGATGGCGACTGGATGCCATCTGGGAAAACAAATGAAAGGAAAGGGGGGTCTTGTTACATACCATTTTGAAGCTCCTGACGAATACTTTACAACCCTAGAATATGAAAAAAATATCTTCACCTACTACAAAATGGGGAACATTCAATAATTTCTTGAAGACAAACACATTGATATCGATATTTCTAAAAATATTTTTTTTATCTGCTATATGGCAATTCCAACAACCCGATAAGGTTTGTTGAGTTATTTTCTGTTTATAAAAACGGCAAAAAATGTCTGTACGACAATGAACCTCTTTGTTCAGTTAGAATATTCTCATTTAGTTTTCGGTTTCACTAGTAGAAAGGTACCACGTCAATAATCTCTAAAATGTTCCTTTCTCGCCTATTGGAAGAAAAAATTGAAGCGATTTTTATTTACGTGCGACGCGTAACTTTCACGAGACCGAAAGGATTTTCAATGAACGTTTTCCGAATCGTCCAGTCGAAGCGAATCCTAATGAATTCCATATGGATATTGTATTCCAACAAGATAGAGCACCGACACATTACTCCAGACAAGTAACTTTTTGGTACCTACTTTTCCCGGTCGTTGGATTGGCCGTCGAGGTCCTACAGAATGGCCAGACCGCTCACCAGATTTCACACCTTTGGATTTTTTATAGGGCTATTTGAAGCAAAAGGTGTAAGAAACTGAACCTGCTTCAATATTGGATATACGGCAGAAGATAATAAATATTTGTATATATATATATTGACGTTACTGTGTTCGAAAATGTTCGGCGTGAAATATCAGATAGGCTGTTCATATGTCAAGAAGTTCAAGGCAACCATTTTGAGCATCTTCTGAACTGACCTCAAGCTCATTATCGCATATATTATGTAGTTAAATGTCAATGTATTCAGGCAATTAGTAAAAGTTCCGCCATTTTGTATTAGTTGAAGATATTGACATTATATTCTAGGGTTGTGAAGCATCTATCAGGAGCTTCAGAAATATGTGTCACAAGACTTTCTATTCAATTTTCATCTGTCAATTTCCCTTCAAAATAAAGTATACATGCATTAATTTCATTATCCCCAATTTCAACTTAATTTAATAATAACGAAATGCACTGTACATATAACTATAAGTTATGCTAGTCCCGAGATGACAAGGCTTGAAATATGTAGTAATATGCAGGGTGTCTCGATAAAAAAAATAGTTTTCCATCAACTATTGATATCTTATTTGAAAAAATAGGTTTTTTACAACATCTTATTCTACTCAAAAAGTGGTCAGGAAATGGTTTCATAGAAACAAGAAATTTTTGACAGAAAAAAAGTTGAAGCAACTTTTCAAAAATGCACATTTTCGAAAAAAATGTTGTAACTTAGAAACGATGAGAGATATCGATATGCAGTTTTCACCAATGAGTTTGTCATAAAATTTGACCCCCCCACACAGCCATAAGTTTTCATCTATCATCAGGAGTTTCCCTTTGAAAGTGTCCAATTTGGCCCACTTTGTACAAGAGTAGTTTCTTAAATACTGTGAATCATACTGAGTTGTAAAACGTTCCATCTTCTCAGTACTACGATCTGTAAGGTCTTTGTATATCAGATCTAGTATCGGAATGCTGATACTTCTGAAGAAGTCAGTTTCTATCTGACAAAATCCTTCAGCATTAACTTTTCAAGAAACTTAACTCTTTTGCTATTTCACGGAGTTATATGACAATGGCTAAAGTTCTTTCACAAAACTGCTCCAGGTATATTTTCAACTGAGCCTGAAGAAAAAATGCTCGAAACAAAAGGGATAATACCTCTTCTTTTCTTTTCAATATTAATCACTACGAGTATCTACGCTTCTAGGCATTGACTCAATCCACCAGAACATTGAGGAAATTGTTGTATCAACAGTGACCTCTTTTATGTTATTGGTAAATATTTATTTTGACACAAATCTGCCTTGGTGATTTTGTGGGACGTACCCTGTATTATTAGACTGTATTATATGTAGACTTCATCAAATTGGTTGTTGCACGAAACAAAAATGCATGGATGCAAAAAGACAAGCAGACAATGGTTCAACAAATCAGATGAGAAATAATCCTTCACAAGCTGATCTTTGTATCTATTCGATACATTCAGGACGAGAAAAACTGTATTATGTGTAGACTTCATCAAATTCGTTGTTGCACGAAACAAAAATGCATGGACGCAAAAACACAAGCGGACAATGGTTCAACAAATCATATGAGAAATAATCCTTCACAAGCTGATCTTTGTATCTATTCGATACATTTAGGACGAGAAAAACTGTGAATTGTGATGACTTCATCATTGGGTGTTCTGATTAACATCAACCCAAATCTTCCAGGAGAACTGGTCAGTGGCAGAAATAAGTAGAGTGAGGGGAACTAAAACTCCCCAAAACCCTTGGCATAACATGCCCCCGTGGACCTTTGCCACAACTTGCCCCCGTGGACCAGCCTGCCCAAGCTAAGGTGTAAGGAATCGTGTCGACAGCTGAATGATCGCGGTTACGAATGATCCCCTTGGGGAACTGGGCGAAATCTCATTGTAATCAGATCAGCCTACCTCTGCTTGCTACTCGTGGGAACACACATGAAAGAAACAACACAAAAACAGAAACAACAAAAACAAAAACCAATCCCGAGGCTGGACAGAAGTGCTCTACTGAATCTAAGGCGGTGGTTGGGGATGTACAGAAATGTCCACCCCAGTCTACCGCTTGGAATGAGGCTGAACATAGCAGATCACCTGGTGATGTAATACAAAAGCCAAGGCGTAAGCGCATTTGAGGCGCCGTGGCCAAAAGTGTATAAGTGCACCCTCCTCCTTCCACACTCCACCTCCAAGAGCAAGGGCATTTCCTGCGGCGGGCGTCAAGAACTCCGCCTTGAATGAAGGCAAGGAACCTTCTGCCCCTGCAGGAAAGCTCCCTCACTTGTGCACCTCCGCGGAGGGAACCCCAAGAAGGTTGAAGAAGCCGCGCAGCGATAGTAATGTCGCTGCACCTTCCAAAATCTTCGCGAAGGCCACCGTGAGACACCTCAAGGTTGTGTGTTCGGCGAGTCTTGGCTTACATCTGCAAGATGTCTCCTAGTGACCTGTCCACCTTCCTGGAAAGGACAGGATGGATGATATCCTAGGAGGACAACTCCTCGGGAGGATGTAGAATAGGTCATATGTGGCCTGAGTGCTGTGGCTCTACACCGTCCTCCCTACTCTACAGATACAGATACTGCCTTGAAATTACAAATTTGAAAAGAGAAATGCATCAAGGATATTCTGAAAAAAATTGAAATGGACCAGTGCAGACCAACGGAAGTGGGAAGTAATCTGAAGGAAAAGGAGATTGCAACTAAAACAACAGACTCTCCTCATCAAAATTCAATTGAATTGCACTTGCTATTAGACCAGATANTATAGCTTGCACGTTCGTAGGCGGATTGATTGGAGTTGGCCAAGGCTGGGAACTCTGCAAATTGATGAAGACTTTCTTGTAGTATTCGCTAGTCTGTTGCGGTATGGTGTTGTGGAAATAGCTTCGGCTGGCCGCGTGGTACTCCTCATTGAAAACATCCACACCGTCTGTCCAATAAAATTTCTTGCTGGCCATTGCTAGTGAAATAACCTTCTTGAGCTTTGGAGTCGTCACTGATGTTCTGATGTTTTTAACTTCTTTGCTGAAATTGAAAATGGTCAGAGTATTGAATACTTGATGCTATAAGCAATAAATTATTATAACAACTATCAATATTACGACTAATACAGGGTGTAACATGACTACGTTGAAATATTCAAGTGAATATTCCTGAGACAATTTTAAGAAAAAAAGTCTATATGAACTTGTGTCCAAAAATGCTTCGTTTCGGAGATACGGGGTGTTGAAATTAAAAATNATATTCACTCATGTCATAAAAGCAGGACCCCACTAAATATTTCTTCAATCTTGTTTTGAATTTATCAATATTTTTTTCGTTTTCGATATCATCGGGGAGATGATTGAAAAATTGTATTCCATTATACTTAGGACAGTTTTCGTGAAGTGAAGTGCGGTGCTTTGTACTTCTAAGTAAGTCACCATGCCTCGTAGCATAGTCATGAGAGTCAGAATTTTTTTAGAAGCTCTTGATGTTGAGATTTAGATATGTTACAGTTTAATACATGTAAATTATTGGTACCGTTAGTAATTTAAACTTTTTAAAATTATTCCTACACATCATTCGGTAATCTAAGCCAAACATTAGACGAATTAGTCTTTTTTGACTGATAAAAACTCTGCGAGCATTAGACGTACTTTCCCAAAGGACAATATTATGAGAAATATGTGAATATGACAGAGAATAGTACACATTTATTGATTGCTCCAGTGTGAATATATTTTTTTAGCTGCAAAATTGCAAAATAACTGCTATTGAGTCCCTTGCACACATGATTTCTTCTTGATTGATCTCTTCTTGATTGTCTAGATTTCTAGATTATAAGACAACCTAATGGAACATTGGACCAAAAAGTCTATTGGCAACCTATTGACACTAACAGATATTCGAACAAGAGTCCAGTTTTTAAAATTCTCAACGAGACAACAAACGCATTTTTCAATCCCAATATTAGTAATCAAAAATAAGCCAACTTAATCACCTTGCCTAATGATGAAAACGCATATAATTTTAATAACAAGGAAGAATCGTTGCATTAAATCGAATCTCGATATAACACTGAAACTACAGATAATCAAGGCACAATGAAGCATTAGGCCGATTAAAAACACTTCAATTAGCCAGCTGGAAAAGCACAGCAGATTAGCTAACTATCTCTCATCGGTAAATTGATCCTCAATTCAATCAGTCTCCGGACTTGTTCTACGTAACTCTTTGAAACTACTTCATAATGATATAATGATGTTAACATATTTGGGTATATCAAGGTGGTCCTAGAAGTACCCGGTCTGACCTAGAGATGGCTGTAGTTGTTGGAAAAATAGCACTGTATTAGAAAGTACACAATCTATAAAGCATATGTTTCAAGTTTGAAGACGCTCCGTTGTTTAGTATTTGTATGGCAGCCATCAATAGCGAACGTTGCTACCTCGTGCACCATATTCGCTAGATTTAGCCCACTTGGATTATTTTATGTTCCCAAAGTTGAAAAAATGGGTCAGTGGTTAAAAATTCTCCAACGTTGAAGCTAATGACTCACAGTCATTCAGTAAACATAATGAATTACCCCTCTTTTATTCCTTTTATTTAATTTTATTTTTCTCTCTCCTACTACATAGACACTATAATTTTTTGTACATTATATGTTTCATGAATACTTTAAGTATTGTTTATTGTAAAGGAGTTGAATGGAAGAGCAGGATTCGGCGTGTTGCACACGCTTGTCTCCTGAATTCCGCTCCGCGATTTTACCAAACCCATTGTATTTTCCTTTGTGTACTTTCTTTTTTACCTTGGTGAATAAAAGATATTATTATTATTTTGAGGAGCAAGATAGCCGTTCTGTGCACTGGTCAGGCCCTATCCTGCCAGCATTATCGGGAAAGTGTATAGAGCTACAATTGAAAATAACTCTTGCAAAAAATAAGTTATTTGCACAAAATTCGGTACCCGGATTTTTTTTGACGTGGGAAATCATAATTTCGTATTAATTTCCATGCAACATTTAGAGGGCGCTGCGTACGCTGTCATTATTAATAATTTTTTTCTTAAAATTGTCTCAGGAACACGTCACTTGAATATTTCAACGTACTTATGTTACACCCTGTATAACGGAAAATTATTTTTATAGCAGGTCTCTAGTTTATATTACAATGGTTTGAATACAAAACGTAATAAATCCCATTACTCACCCGTCTAACGTTACCGACATGATGGTGTTGAGTCTTTGATATGATATTAAAATGTTGAAGTTGTGATATTCGAAAGTGAAAGCTCCTAACTCAGTCTCATTCAGGATTTTGTTGATTTTAACTTCGTGCTTTATCCCGTTGCTAATATCATTTATATCTAGACGAAAGAGTCCTCCTTTGTTGTAGTCTTGAATGGTCCAGAAAAGATAGCTGAAATGAGAACATCATGTCTGATTGAATTTATCTGTTATTTTATCATGAGTGCAAAAGGGTAGCGATCTTGAAGAATTTCCAAACTATTGTCTTATATTTTCCATCGCCTGATGAACAAGCTTGGATGTTATTTTCAATATCTTTTGATCAACTGTCAACAACTTAAAATTTGGAAACGTAGTGGGAATAAACTTGAGACTTCTATTCGTATATTATCGATAACTATGTGTTTTCCTTTTTTTAATAAAATGCTATATGACAAGAACATGTTTTTTCAAACAATAAAGCAGTTCATCATCAATAATCAGAATCATATGTCATTCTGAGTTGGTAATGGCTAAGAACCAGCTTACCACGAAAAAAATATGATAATAATGATAATAATAAANACATATTTGGGTATATCAAGGTGGTCCTAGAAGTACCCGGTCTGACCTAGAGATGGCTGTAGTTGTTGGAAAAATAGCACTGTATTAGAAAGTACACAATCTATAAAGCATATGTTTCAAGTTTGAAGACGCTCCGTTGTTTAGTATTTGTATGGCAGCCATCAATAGCGAACGTTGCTACCTCGTGCACCATAATCGCTAGATTTAGCCCACTTGGATTATTTTATGTTCCCAAAGTTGAAAAAATGGGTCAGTGGTTAAAAATTTTCCAACGATGAAGCTAATGACTCACAATCATTCTGTAAGCATTATGAATTACCCCTATGAATTACCGCTTGTCTCCTGAATTCCGCTCCGGGATTTTACCAAACCCATTGTAGTTTCCTTTGTGTACTTTATTTTTTACCTTGGTATATAAAAGACATTATTATCATTATTATTATTTTGAGGAGCAAGATAGGTCTTATTATAAAATAGGTATCTAACTTATTGAATGTCGCTGGGGAATGTGTATAGAGCTACAAGAAGATTATGTTGAAAAATAAATATACTATTTTCCGGTATTTTTGTGTTTTCTTCAGTTGAAAATTTTCAAACAACTGAAAGTGTACTTAGAGCTAGAAGTGCTGATTGATTTCCAGGCGTGTAAGGGATTGGTTGGATCAGACATACTCAGGTATGTAGAATGTAGGCGTGGTCTGTTGTAATGGCCTGCTCGTTCATTGGATTTGACTTTTCTTGATTTTTTGTAGTCATATCGAATCTATAGTTTATGCTACGCAACCTGGACAATACGGAAACTGAGAGACAGAATTACCTCATCCTGTGCTAGCAGTACCAGAGAAACATTCCAAAATGTTAGGAATGAGCTCAAAAATAGACTATTGGGAGGGGTAACTATTCACGTCCACACGTGTATACACGGTAAATATACTTATTTAATTTGGAATTCAATTTATCTAATGTTTCTTGTAAAATAAATGGTACCTAGTATTTTAGGAAAGTAGGTAACCATCTTGTCACTAGTGGTTATTGAAATTACAACTTACCCATTCAGTGGATCGATTTCAAGAGAAGAAGGTTTCTTTGTGAGGCCTGCGTACGATACTGTCACTCCACTACCGTCGAAATTGCATCTTTTGATAATGTATTTCGAGATTTGAAATTTCACCTCACCCAAAATATACAACTGGTTGTTCAGCCAATCCACTGTGATGTCTAACGGTTTGAAATCCAAATTCTGCGGTTCCAGTATACGAGTTTTCGTGAAACCCCCCGGTGCCAGTGAAAGCCTAGAGACAAAACCATCACTGTCGGTGACGAAGAAGAGTTTTTTCTTGAAGTGATATGCTATACCTGAAACATATTGGGAGTTATTGACCGAGACACAATAAGTTCATAGGTCTTCATTCGGTCCTTGGTGAGATTCCTCACCATTTTCAGCAACACTGATTACATACAACCAAAAGTAGGAGAAGTTGCTGAAGGAACAATGTCCTGATAGAGATCAGAACAAGTCCAAAATCATCATTGTTGTCAATTGGTTTATGCAGTACTTTCAAATTTACCAGTACGTTCATGAACCATAGTCTCCTAGATAGAATATCAAAGGTCAACGGAACCAGGAGTCCAACTGGCAACCAGTTGGTTGCCTCGGGTTCTGATAGCTGTATACAGGCACAGATCCACCTGACAGAAATCATTATGATACAAAGCTGATTGACGCTGGAAGCTCTACAGATATCCAAGTTTGTACTGAACTGGCATAAACGCTTTCCAATTGAAATGTTTATGAGCTGGATTGTTGACCTCTCTGGCCTGGAAGGTAATGAAGATACTAACTTTTCCTGCATGCGGTTTCATCGAGCGAATGGCTTGCATTGCCATCGCTTAAGGTTTAGTCATTGGCATATATTACTCACCAAGTAAATTCATCGGCTTCTTCAAGGAGTTGGTGAAATTTGGACTCATGTTGAACCTAACAACCATAGCAAGCCATTTTATAAACTACCGAGGATTTACAAGAAGGATGTCCTCAAACCGATTGTAGTTCAGCAGCCGCAATGAAAAACCGCTCCAATCATGAAGAATTCGAAGTAATGAGAAACTCATCAATTGTGACCGGAATACACACAAAAACGTTGTGCTGGAAAAGCATTTCGTAATATCCAGACAAAATTTGGAACAATCATGAGCTCATTGGAATGCTGCATCCCAATCTTCTATTTTCAAGTGAGCTACTTGTCGACTGTCCAAATTACATCATCCAAACATTTTAACTGAAAATGAGTTTCAGAAGTGGATATAATAGTATGTACTTGATTTGAAGGATGAATAAACCAGGAAATGCTACTTAAACATTTTCCAGAAAGAGCATAAATCAATAATAATAATAATAAATCTTTATTTTCCTTATTTTTGACAGAGTTATAAAATTTGTATAGGAATCGTCAAATAGAAAAAATAACAAAAGACATCAGAGACTAGGAGTTCCTGAAAAAAAAAGATAATGAGAAACAACTACCTACTAATACACTTAAATTTTTCAAAGCGATAATAACAGTTATCAACAAGAAAATCCTTTAGTTTTCTTTTGAAGATATACATGGTTTTGGATTTTTTTATAATATCTGGAAGCAAATTATAGGCACGTGGAGCCATCTGATCGGGTGATACAAAAGCTAATTTAGTTTTTGCAAATGGTACNAATTAAAATGTGATAAAACTAATGTTTCGCACAGTTTCATTTTGATTTTTCGAGGAATTAAATGCCTGTTTCCATAAATCAGTTTTAGTGAACCATATGCCCGTCGAATCAATTGATTAACATGTTTTTCGAATCTTAGGTCTGCCTCTATGATAATGCCTAGGTTTTTAGCTTCTTCAACAACAGGGATCAATTCATTATTAATTTCTATATTAATAGGAAACTGAAATCTAGCCCGATTATACATAGAACCAAATAACATTACTTTAGATTTAGCGCAATTTATTAGTAAACAATGTTCAGAAGCAAAATTAATGAACGTCGCCAGTTCCCTATTAATTATTTCAGAAGCATCATCTGCTAACTGCGGAGGAAAAGTGTGATAAATCTGTGTATCATCAGCATAGACATGAATCTTACATTGTTCTAAAGATTTTATTAAATTGATGGTATACACAGAAAAAAGTAAAGGGCCCAGGATTGAACCTTGAGGCACCCCCGAGTTCAATGTCATATATTCGGACTGCTTTGATTCAATTTTTACAGGACACTCGCCTGCTTCAATATAGTCCATAATCTCTCTATGAATCTAAAACTGTAGTGGTGGATTTTTTATTCAGAAACCCATGTTGGTTTTTTGTAAAGATGTTATTATGATGAGCGAATGATAGAAGTCTATTAAAAAAGGCATATTCGAATATTTTTGACATACTTGATGGAATTGTTACAGGCCTATAATTTTCCAGTAATTTACGACTATTTTTTTATACACTGGTATGATTTTACCTATCTTCATTTGCATAGGGAATGCCCCTTTACTGAATGACAGATTCACCAAGTGAAGTAGAGGTTTTATTAAAACACGGAGACTCTTCTTGAGAAGAAACATACGGAGTTCGTCATAATTCGTCGTAATTCATACAGTCTGCTCTTATTCAATTTTGGCATTGAAGCAAGGAAATGCTTTTCAACTAGTAGAAGTATTTTGGACCCATCCAATTCCCTGTCAGATCCATCAAGTAGTGGGTTTTATACAAAACCAAGAATGGAAGAAACACTTATCGATTGAAAAAACCTTGAAACCAAAACAGAAATCTTACCTTTCAACTCCACCTCACTCCTGTACAGAATATTGGGCTCGCCCAATATATTATTGAGCTCAAAAATACTGCAGTTCGTACCCAAAATCAGTGGTGGCTGCAGGACATTATTCACTGCAAAAAATTAAAATATACAGGTGAAAGTTGATTGTACTTTTGAAAAAAGTACTAACTCTGGCGTTCCGCAGGGGTCAAAACCGAAACGATAGCAGCTGGTCCGGGTCCCCTTTTGTTCCTCATCTTAATTTCGATCGTATAATTTCTCGAAGGTTTCACATCACGAACCATTACAAATGAATTTTCTGGAGGAATATCCTAAAGGGAAAAAAGATCAGAGTGATTTCCACCTAACAAAGCAGCAAAAGTAAATAAAGCCAAGTTCATATTTGAGTGAAGCAAGAAGACACATGCAGGCACAACCATGCTGTTAGTCAACACGAGAGAATGTTAAAACACACAAATGCTTATGGAAGAGGTGTCGAAATGTGGCTTGCAAAAGAAAAAGCGGAAATAGAAATATATTTCTGTGCAACGGCTCAGCAGTGGTGAAGAAAATTGAATCGCGAATAATATTTTTATTGCTCATGGACTGTGCTCTAGCTGTAATTATTGGCTAAACAGTTGAATGAGAATTGATTTTGAGGAAGACGTGTAGTATTGGAGATTGATTAGTTGATGAAATTTTACAGCAGGATCCGTATTTTACAAATTTATTCATCGGAAAACATTATATCAAACAAAAATTAATGAACGTCATATATTTTAAATAGTATTCACTAAAAACTATGGTGATGTTTTTTCCTATTTTTCCAATACGACTGATTCATAAGAGATTTCCATGTAAAGGCCTAAAAGTGTTTAGTTTATCCTCAGATGATGTGGTGCTGCAGATTTTTCCGGGTTTTCATGCAGCTGAAAAAGCAAATGCGCCACTGGAATCAATAAAGTCGCCCCGGAGTCCCTATTAATTTTTATAGTTGTTTCATAATTTCACAAAGTTTATCAGAACCTTATATGAAATTATATTTGAGTGAGGTGGCAAGTTTCGACAATTTTGAATTTTTCATTCGAAATATACATGCATACAAGGTGACTGATTATAATTATTGTGACAATTGAATCATTTGTTGCACCAATTTTATATCTGTTATCACCAGCGAATACTTGAATGCATTTTAAATCATTTCAACTTGTGAATAAATTGAGATAAGTAAAAACGACAATAGGTTCTAATATGGAACCCCGTGAAGCACCATGATTGGTTAACAATAACATCATTTTGTCCCTTTCCCAGACATTATATAAATCGGTAAAAAATCCTTGTGGGAAATAAAATTGTTGGTAGTGAAGGTATTTGAAATGAAATATACAGAAAACCTTGAACAGTAATAATGTGGCATTTAGGCATGATGCCATTTTGATGATGGCAATTTGGTTTGATTGGTAGAACTGCTGGTCATAATAGATCGAACAGAGATAGGAATACTATCAAGTATATCCCACCTCAAGTATATAATATTAATTGTACATTATTTCCTAAAAGATTGATATTGAATTAGTCAGCGCAACAATTGATTTTTTTTGGATATACCTTCATTCCTTTCCAATTGATTTTAGACTTCAACGATTCAAATTAAAGTATTGATTTAGACTGAGTTCAATTTGTGATTTCCCGAAAGACTGAGTTCTCTATTAAGATGTTATCAATGGCACATTCCAACAAACTGGAAATCTTAAGAAATGTAGTTGTTATTTGCAAATTTTGAGAAATAATTGTATAATTTCAAAAGATGGCGTGAGGTGAACTTTCACAAGATTCGAGGTTTTTATTTCTTGCATTATATTTGTCTTCCAGATAATTATATTGAAACTAAGATATTTATGAGGAGCATATCAAGCCCCCCATTGGGCGCCAATGTGTGACGATAACTAAACCGTTGGAGTTTCTACGTTTTACTATTACTCTAAGATTGAACGTTGGCCAACGTTCAATGGTTTTGTTATAGTTGATACTCGCTAAAAACTTTTCGAAATTTTGAAAGCTTTATTCATGATTTTCATCAGTAACAAGAATTTAATGGGCTGTCTTTTTCAAAGCTTGGTCATTCGAATTTATATCCAAAGTAGTTCACATAGATTTTGTGGTAGAGTTTTTAAAAAGTTCACCCAAACTCAGGTGAAACTATTAGTCATTACATAGATAGAAGGCTATATAATACAAAATGTCATTATATCTAAAATACAAATTAAGTGGAATTCAGTCTGTACGAAAACTCTTGAGAAAGCTATTTATTGTAGAGCGAAACACGTGTCGCGATTTTGTAAACTGCCCAGGGAAAATCTAACAATAAATTGTTACTGGAAGACGGAGATCTACCTCCTAACGTTATTACCGGAGCAACATAGTGAGGAGGTGCTCCATCTTGCAGGAAATGAAGCCGATCATCTTTATGATTTTGGTCATTTTCAATTATTTCTGTTATGAGAGGATCAATTGTATCTTCAAGCATGTTCAGGTAGACCTCACCAGTTAAATTCACAGGAATAAAAAGTGGCCCTACGATATGACCACTTAATATGCCACACCAGACATTGATTTTTTGAGGGTACTGGGTATGGACCTCTTGGAATAAGTGTGGGTTACTGTCATCCCAGTAACGGCAATTATGCCTATTCACAGCTCCATTAAAAAAAATGTATTCTCATCGGAAAAGCACGTGTTGAATGATAGGTGCGGATCATCAATTAGTAGCTGGCTCAGTTGTTCACAAAATTGCAGCCTTATATCAAGATCATCTTCATTGAGTTCCTGTACTAATTTAATTTTGTACGGATGAAATTTATAGGATTTTAATATTCGTATTATGGACAAACGGGAGACACCTGAGGCTGCAGTAAGCTGACGGGTACATTGAGTATGATCCAATTCAATATATCCCAAAACAGCGACTTCCACTGCTTCATTTCTGATCGGTTTCCGTGGCTGGTGTTTCACATTACAGACAGATCCGGTATCGACAAACTTTTGGACTAACTTGGCAACGTACGAATCATTCACAATTTTCCCGGGATGACTGTTATTAAAGAGGCGAGCAATAAGTCTAGCACAACTATTATGTTGATAATAAAGTTTAACAATTTCAACTCGTTCAGGAATGGAATAAACCATTTTTACAGTAAAGTTGAAATAATTTCAAAAGCAACCGAACTGAATCAATGAACGTTTGCCTAAATTATTTTTGTACACTTATCTGATGTTGTTATTTTAACCAAAAAAAGCACGAGAGAAATTGAGGAATTTAGTAGTGATAAAAATGCCGTTTTTTCCGCATTTTCATTAACACCAAAAATATCGAGTAAATGTTCTTGCTTTTTTTATAACTATTCAAGTAAATACAACAAATTAGGTATCATTGGAAAGATAATTTTGTGCCCTTTCAAATGATATACCACTCGACCCCACTCTCCATTTGAAATTTTAGGGTTGTTACTCAACCTCGCTAGGGGGTTGAAGGCACAGGTAGAAAAATACATCAGAAATGTGTCCCCCTCAAAAGCAAAATTGACCTGTCCGAGCATTTTTGCGTTAAGTTACAAAAAAAGGAGAAAGGCAAGGTGCATACTTTTCGTTGGACCACTCGATATATCTCTTCGTGAAAAGAGAACAAATTTCCGTGATTTTAAAAGAGTAACTGTGTCATATACCAGTTCGGCTTCTCTTGGCGATATATTTAGTAAAACAACCGAATGTTAACGTAAACACTACATAAAGGACACTTATCTGCTTTCTTGCATCTCGTCAAATCAACATAAAAAAGAAGAGAGCAAAAATTATCGTGATCGAGAGAAGATAAAAACAGTCTCGAAGCGATCTACAGACAAAAGAAAGAGGGCAGACGGGCTTCGAGCAGATATAGCAATCGAACCTTGACTTCTGAATGGCGGTTGTCGGTAATATTGAGAACATAGGATAGGAGAGGGCCGTGCGGGAATGGGCCTGGTTCCCAGCTGATGCTTATACTTGACGAGTCCACCGGAGTGACGCGTACATTCTGCGGCGGAGACAGAGGCACGCCACTGGCGAGGGTGCTGATGACGACGCTCTCGGTCGAAACGATGGGTTCGCCGTAAGGGTGGCCGCCTGCTGATCCCAGTATTAGTGCTATTCGGAACTGAAACAAAGAACGATATTTTACTGGGTGTAATCTGAGTTGGGTTATTATTGATCTATTATATTTGTACATTCACCTTGTAGATATCATAATCAACTTTCTGGTTGGCATATAGTCAAAATAAATGATGAAACAGGGAGTTCCGTTTCCGATATGGTGATAGACGGACGTGCCAATAGCGAACGTCCACAAAGAAGGTACGCGGACGCCTTTGTTGGAGACGGATTCATTTCGTGTTGTGAATGTCCGCCATTATATAACGAGCCAGCATCGATTAAATAATAATAGTGTTGACAAAAAGTGTTGAGTGTTAAAATAAGTAGTACTCGCATTCACGCCGGTTGGAGGCCGGAGTGGACCGGATGTCCTCGTAGGAGTGCTAAAGTGGAATGAATTCATATAATACCTGCTTCTATTCACGCCAGTTGGAGGCCGGAGTGGACCGGATTTCCACGTGGGAGTAGGATGGCAACAATAATCTTTATGAAGCAGACGATAGTTTGTATCCAAGCATAGTACACCCAATTCCGGACACAGGCTCCCAAGCTGCAAGACACACTTTGTTCCCCGATGAAGCTTTTGTTATGTAAGAGCCAGTTACGTAACAGGAGGAGCATTGGTCATATGCGCCTGAAGATAGGAAGCAACGACCATCCAAAATATATAGAGAAAGATAGAAATGGTAAAATAACTGATTCATATTACAAAACACGGCGCTAGTTTATTAGATTCGTGTATTTAATCTCTTCTAATGATGAAAAATTATAATTGTTTACAAAACGAAACATAACACCATATTTCACATTCCAATTCTGTAGCGTTTTCATTTCTGAAGTAGAAATTCCTCATTAATATAGTAAGACATTATCGATGATGTGTACCAAAATCTCAAAATATGTTTTTATTACGCATCAGTGATTTATGGTTTTTTCCACTCGCAAATTTTCTACAGTCCAGGTTGAACCGCATCATAGCTTCAACTTTGAAGCTATGGCTACACTGGAGTCTCAATCTGCCTACTTTCCAGGTGTCGTCACCTGTCTCTGAAAGGTTCTCAATCTGCCTACTGCCAAGCGTTGACTGTTGGGAGTAGGCAGGTTGAGACCCCGGCGTCAGGTCACAAAACCCTTACAGCGTTTCATTAACTAGGGAGTAGGCAGATTGAGACCACAGTGTAGTCATAACTTCTTGAAAAGGGCTTCAAACTCGAAGCAGAAACGTCGAACAACTAAAAACAGCAGACGCTGTTCAATTCAGACTTCTTCTTCTTCTCCTCTTTTTTTATGGTCTTTGCTTCCCTTCGGCGCAGTAGACCAGTAATCTTAAGAGTGTCAGATTGCTGATCGCATACACCTTTTCGAACACATACACACACACAGAAATAAAGAGAGTGAAGAGGTTAGCTCGGATGGCTAAGTTGAGATACAGCGTGAGGCAGGTATTGCAGTCGGAGATTACAAAATAGTCTCCTTTATTTGTTCAAGCTTCTGAAACTTCATTGGCTCCTCTGGAACTGAAAGCTGAGGTTATGAATACGAAGCTAGCATTAAAAATCATATTTTCATTAAAACATTATCAAATCAGAAGGATGTACGAACACTCGTTAAATTCAAACACACGTAAAAAACCGTACATTATCAAAACAATGAGATGACTCAAATAAAATTACAATAATTGTTTCAATTTTTAAAAATCATACATTTTTTGTCATATGAAATGATTTTATCTTGATATTGCCTTTTTATGTAATTGTAATCCAGTTCCAAGAGATTTTTTTTTGTTAAAAGTACTGTCGATCGTTTAATATGAAATGTCACAAGAATGATTGCCTGAGTGTATAACAAATATATAGAAAATACCTGAGACTAATATTTTTCAAATTTTACAAAATATCTGAATGATCCAGAAACGATGCAGGAACGCCATTAACTTTTTAATTTTTTTGTAATATAAAAATTTGCTATTTCATCAGATTTATCCTGCTTTTTTTTGTAAATCTTTTTTTATTTGATAAGGGTCCACTATTCATTAATGAGTAATGATCCTAAATTTCATATTGCTGTCAAAATTATTTTTATGTTTTAGTTCTAGCAACTTAAGACGTTTAGTTAGAACGAAACATTTCAACAGCAGTAGTAGTTTAATTGGAGCATTGCTACAATAGAGCTACAATATTTGAACAAAGTTACAAACTATGTGAGCTTGAACTGTTAAATACCTCAAAGTTCATTAGTTTCAGAATTGCCGTTAAGAAATTACAAAATCTAATCTCGTGGTCATTTTTCATCTAGATGTAATAATGGCAACAAAAACAAACCCGATACAAATCCATGCTCATCAAAATGACAAACCATGGTGACACAATAACTGGACCTCTTTATTTCTTAAACAAACATAAACATCAAAATACTTACCCTGTATTTAGTATAGGGTTGAAGATCGTAGATGTAGAACACCGTATTCTCCTGGTTCCAAGAAGCGTTTCTGCAGTATTGCCAAGTTGTCGAAAACTCCTCGTACCTCCACTGGACGTGACAGCTCAAACCAGACATCTTCGCCTTGGGGAAGTTCCACTCCAATTTCAGCGAATCTGCGTTCAGAGAATCGGCGAGCAGAGCAGGAGGAGGCGGGACACCGAGGTAGGTTCTCAATTTGGAGAAATATTTAGTGATAGCGTCGTTGCATCCCATTATGCAGTACAATTCTTTGGAGATGAGGCGGTCTGTTGTGCCATTCTGAGAAAAAATAACATGTGAGTCTTGGTTCTGTTGGGATTGTTTGCAAGAGTTCCGAGCAATTAGAAGAAATGAAACCACATTCCAAAAACAAAACATTCATAATTCAATACAGCGCTGTTTCGACCCGCCATATATCTCATCAGTGGTGTTAGAGTGACCCACCGATGCATAAAAAAACAAGCACTTTTCCCAATCGCCAGAACTTCAATACTCTTCTTGACACGCGTTTCACTGACCAAGTTGGCGGCTGCAGGAGATTGAGAAAACTGATATAATATGGTATTATTATCTAGTGAGCTAAAAAGTTCGTAGGCTTACACACACATGGCGCTACTAGTATTGAATTCATATGAGTCCCTAACCTCCAAAAGAGCGTTTAAAGGACCAAATTGTGGAAAAACGGCCTCATTGGAAGAAAAAGAAAGTGCTCTTTCATCATGACACCGTGTCACAAATCAATGAAAACGAAAATTACATGAATTAGCTTCGAATCGCTTCCGCATCCACCGTATTTTACAGATCTGGCACCAGCGACTTTTTTCTGTTCTCCGGACTACGAACTTTTCAGCCCAACCTTATGCTAGGCTAGGTATATCAAAATTCGATACTATCCCAATCTTTATTATTTATCATTAAGTTTGTGGATATGGTCCGACCCCTCTGGACCTGTACGTTAAAGATGTTGCATTATTGGCCATGTTACGATTGCGCACGTCTGGTGTAATCTTCGAAGTAGGAATGGGTCAATTGAGGCTGGGCGGGCCTATGGCGAGAAGCGATTACTTCGCAACCTCTGCTAAAAACAACCAGGTATGCAATTGAACCCAGGTTTGTGTTCACTGAATCCTACAAAATACAAATAGAACAGATCACAGAGTCAGATGCTACAAATGCAATACACATATATACAGACGGCTCAAAAATCAAAGAAGGCTCAATGCGGAGTTCACTCCAGATCACTGAGAAAAACCAGCGTACTTCAAACAGAACTGGCTGGTATCTCAATCGCCACAAAAGAAATAACCAAAATCAAAAATCAAAGAAGGCTCAATGCGGAGTTCACTCCAGATCACTGAGAAAAATCAGCGTAGTTCATACAGAACTGGTTGGTATTTCCAACGTCACAAAAGAAATAATCAGGAAAGGAATTTCTGGCAAAAACATTACAATCTGAACTGATAGCAGACAAGCCCTATTAGCCTTGAACAGACAACGTGTTACCTCAGGGCTAGTACTAGGGTGCCACCAAGATTTAGCCAATAATGATAATAATATAATAATAAATCTTTATTTCCCGTTGACGGTTACATGTATGGGAATCGTTAAGCCTAATTCTAAGGTGATTAAGAGTATGTTGAAAATAAAATATGAATTTAAGATAAGATAGTTACATACATTAATTTTCAATTAGAAATTCGGAAAGCGAATAAAAACATTTCTCCAATAAAAAATGTTTCAAATCTTTTTTGAAATGTCTCACATTTTTATGCTGCTTAATGATATCTGGAAGTTTCTTAAAAATTCGTGGCCCCATGTACTGGGGAGCAAAATATACCGTATTCACTTTCGCAAATGGAATATACATGGAGTGTTTATTTCTTGTATTCCATCCATGAATATCTTCTTTCAATTCGAACAACGATCTATTTTCAAAAATATAAACAGCTATATCAAAAATGTATATACATGGAAGAGGTAACATTCCGTACATTTTGAAAATAGGTTTACATGAGTCCCTAGATGGGATATGTACTAAAGTACGTGATATGCGTTTTTGACAGATGAAAACATCCGATGCTGAGGTGGAATTTCCCCAGAGACATATATCATACCTAAGCCTTGAATCAATTTGGATGTAGTAAATTGCCAGTAGCTGTGCCTCATTGAGAACATTTCGAAGATTCAAAAGAAGAAAATTCAGGGAATTCAATTTGCCCATTAGTTTATTATAGTGGGTTTTCCAACTCAAAAATTCATCTAGATATACCCCAAGAAATCTGACAGACTCTTGAGTGTTTGTCAAAATTGTCTGATTATCTCTAAAATCAAGATTTTGTATTGGCTTCTGACGATTGTGGAAACGTACTACCTCTGTTTTTTCCGTATTGAAGAATAAAGAACGTTCATTTAAAAAATTTGATATATTATTCATCACATCACTACAATTAGCATTTAGTAAATTAGTGCCAGGTGACAATACCAAAGATAAATCATCTGCATAGGCAGAGTGATGACAACTATTTAAAATGGAATCAGTCTGATCAAAGTACAAAATAAACAAAACGGGTCCCAAGACGGAACCTTGTGGGACACCCATATCAACATCCGGACATTCAGATTTTCTATTATATTTGGTATTATTAGAGTTTATTCGTATAGATACATATTGTTTCCTGTCCACCAGAAATCATTCAATCCATTTTAGTGGGAGACTCCTCAAACCATATAGTTCTAACAATTCTAATAGTTTTCCGTGGTTTTCACAGTCGAACGCTTGGCTTAAATCGCAGAAGATTGCTGCTGGATATTCATCAGCAGCAATATGTTCGAGGCCGAGGCCAAAGCCTCGATAGATGGAAACATTATCCTGAGGTGGATTAAAGGGCACGGCAGGAGTGAAGGTAGTCTCCTTGCCGACTCTTTTGCCAAGGAAGTGGCTGGGCTAAGAATTTTAGGACCCAGTGGCACCTACGGCTTGATGACTTCGACAATTGCGGAACTAGCCAAACGTTACACCCATGCTCAATCCCTAAAGAGATGGGATGAAATCAAAGGATGCAATCTCGGCAGGATCACCCTGGGCGACCCTGGAAACTGGCGCCGAAGAAATATCTGGCGGTTACCAGGAAAATTCTACGCCAAAGAGTAGGATTTCTGACTGGCCACTGTCAACTAAGAAAACACCTCCACAATATGGGTCTAGTGGACATACCTCTATGCAGGATGTGTGAACAGGAAGATGAAACTGTCAGGCATGTCTTATGAGAGTGTCCGGAGTTATCGTCAATAAGAGAGTGTGTGTTCGGCGAGTCTTGGCCTACACCTGCCGATATAAAGGAGAAGTCTTTCAGAGACCTGTCCACCTTCCTGGAAAGGACAGGATGGACGATGACCTAGGATGACAACTCCTCGGGAGGATGTACAATGGGTCACATGTGGCTTGAGTGCTATGGGCCTACACTCACCCTCCCAACTATACAGATACAGAAGTTTGTAGTGAGATTGTAGTGAGTTATTTTTCTTCAACTTATAGAGTTGCAGGTTTTAATATCATATGGACCAAGGCATTCATATGATATCTGACTTATTGCTTTAGTTCTGAACGGATATGTTGATTGAAATTAATTTAAATTATAATTCACGTGTTGCGTCACCGGTGAAATGAATTTTTTGGTTGTGTTTTGTTTTTTGACCCTTATTGTATTATATTGCTATTTTTCTGCCAAAGCCAAGTTTTCGGTTTTTATGTATGTACCTCTCAATAAATATACCATTTTCTGACATTCGTTTTTCATATTCGTAGACTGATTTATCTGTTCATCCCATAGATGGCGCTTCGTAAATTCGTAAGAGAAGATGACGTAGCCTTCACACAATCATATTTTGCACACCATCATACTATCGATACTTCCTTGGGAAATATTGAACGTGACGAATGAATTGAAAATAAATTACTGGTTAGTCTGCTGGCTAAGTTATCTTTTAGTGATATGATAAGAACTCGTCAGTTTTCCAAAATGAACAAATGTATTAACTGAATAATTTACAGTATAGTTTAGCTGAAATACTTCACAAACTTGTTTTATTTGTTCATCAACCTCTCAAACACAAGATAAATAAAGTTGGATGATACATTTTTCATTACGGTCAGTTTGAAAAGAAAAGGTCAAATCTATCTCCATCTATAACAAATGCCTGAGAGAATTGGAATAAATAAATGTTGAGAGATCTTGAAAAAATGCAAAAATCTGTATCTAAAGGATTTTATATACTTACGCATGCTTCTTGACAGGAATTGCTCAAAGCTTTCTTCCATAATCTGCAGCCGCTGGTACACTGAAACAAAAGAAAATTAAAAATGTATGCATTGTTTTGAGGCTCGCTTTACTGACACTTTCGTTCCATAGACGTACAGATAAATATACATTTTCAATGATTTTTAGTTGTTATGGAGACATAACTGGGTCACACAAAATAAATTGCAGTTTTTTGCCTGAAGAACAAACGTAAACAAAGTCGCGATATCATAAGATTAAAAAATGATATGTTTATACAAAAAATGAAAATACAATTGCACATTGAGGTGTTACAAAAATAAAGTGAATCATTTATTTTCCAACAAAATATTCATTTATTGATAAATTTCTATTTTGTCTCTTTAAAAGTAGTCCCCCTCAAAGTAGTCTTCCTCAGATATAATACCTTGTGCCAGCCTTTATCTTCAAGATAATATACCTTTTTGACCGTACGACCATATGACAAGAACTCCTGATACAACTACGGTAATCGAAATGAACAGTGAACAAAGCTTGACCAAGCACTCGGTGTGTTTTTTGGTCTTGGCTCTCCTGGGCTCTTTAATTAGAACGATTGGGTTTTGGTTTTCATGTCAAATACCCATGATTCATCACCAGTTATGACCCATCTATGCAAATCTTGGTCGCCGTTGACGTCATTCAATAATTCTTGTGCGATGCTCATGCGATGGTTTTGTTTCAGCAATTTTAGAACGAACCGATATGCCGACATCCTCATAACATTCCACGATTTTCCATAACAATTTCCTTCACTTTCTCAACATTTTCATGGGCTTTTAACACTTGTAAACATTTTTCTGACTCAGAGTACAATCTCCGTATGCCACTGTCAGCATATCGAATGTGTTTGTGCACTCAATTGAATTTTTAACACAAAATTTGATGCAAATTATCTCATCCATTTTTTTCAAAAGCGTAAAATCACCGACGACGCAAAACACTTCTAACGCTCTTCCCTCTCACCAACAAACTGAACATGTTAAACAGGTGAAACAGTGATCATAGGTTCGAGCCTCATTTTTTGAATAGTCCCCGTATATCATTATCATTCGAAATTTTACTCATCACTACATACATAACGATGGAGCTCTATACATCTATTGATGAGAATCAGCAAAACAGTAACGCGTCTTGATAATGTCACCTGATATCGAAACGTCAGCCTTTGTAGAGGGGAATTAACGTAAAAAAATCTAGCCACCTGCGCAAAACTGTACACCCATCAAGCCTGAATGTTCAGCTGTAGCAAAAGTATCAACATTCAAATACCTTGAATTATTTTTTGATCAACATTTGAAGATGGCATGATGATGCATACACCTTCAGTAGAATTAGTTATGAGATACTGCCTATAACAGTAGGGGGTGGCATTTTTGCTAATGTATTGGACATATGTACAAGTCACTCAAAACACAATTATTCAAAAAAACATGGACGATTTGGATGATCCCCGAAAATCAAAAAAATGTTCATTCTTCTTCTTTTTTAATGGTCTTCGCTTCCCTTACCCATTCGCTTCACTAGACCAAATGTTCGTTTGGAATAAATGAAATACGAAACACCGGAAGTGTATAGAATTGAAATATGATATTCATTATGTTACGTTATTTATTTATTTATTTCATACACTTACATAATATAATTTTTGAATCTATATTTGTATAATTTGTATAATATGGCAGTTGGCAGAATGTTACACTATTCTTAGGTCTAGGAACCCAAAAATTCACCATATGTATCAATTGAGAGCAGATAATGATATTGTTTATGATCTTGAATAAAAAAAGAAATGATATTTACGCCTCTGTAGGGCGTCTAGTTGATTCATGTGCACCTGATAGTAGGGACTCCACACAACAATTGCATATTCCAGCCTAGATCGAAAAAAAAGTGAAATAAAGTAATTTCAATTTTGAAGCTTTTTCGAAGTCTTTTGTATTTCCAACTAAGAATCCATGCATACGATAAGCAGCTGTCAGAGTAGTGTCAATATGTTTATTGAAAGAGAGGAAAGAGTCAAAAGTAACACCTAGATCAGTGAGTGTGTCAGGACGCTCCAGAACTTGATTGTTTATGACGTAGTTGTGTAATGCCAAATTCGTTTTCAGTGAGAAAGACATTACATTATATTCGAAATTTTGAGAGATAGAGTATTCCCCCGACACCATGTAGCAACAAGATTTAAATTCAGCGCGAGACGTTCGCAATCATTTGAACATGTTATATTGTGATAGACTTTCAAGTCATCTGCGTATAAAAGGAAATTATTCTATGCCTTTTTCAGAAAAAGCTTTTTTTCTTCGGACCCAAGTTACATAATGCAATACATCTAGAAATGAAGCAACTAAAAACTTTCAAGAGGTATGAAGAGATCTTGAAGAAATTTATTGAAACAAACAGTTCCTTAGGGATCAATTCAGTGCATATGTGACTTTGATATCTAAATTTCGCAATTCTCGCCCTGTAACGGATATCCTTGCTACAGAGCCCAGAGCGGAAGACGGTTGTCCCTTCACGTAGTCGGTGGTGTTAATATTTTCTTCTGGCGATTATTTTTATTATTCGAAAGCCATGAACCGACATCATAGAATTGAGCAGATGAACGTGTGACTTGTTTCAGGAGCGGATGCTGAACCAACAAGGCCCAATTAGAATGCATGATCTGCTGGCAAAACAAAACGGCAGTCTAATTAAGTGACCGATTTCCCACGAAACCTTCAAAAAACGACCCGGTTACGGAAGAAACTGGTAGATTTCAGTTTGATGCTATATTTTGCATACGACTAAGTTTCTGTGGAGTGAAATATTCTTTTTTCTTGTATTTACAGCAGAACATTTATTCTGAATAAGCAGCCATTTACTACAACAATTTCCAATCTTCTAGACAGGATTTTTTTTTGGGAAATACTGAGAAATTCTGTTTTTTTAAGATGTCTAAGGAGGAAGGTTAAAAAGTACTAAAAATCAGTTTTTGCATTCAGTTATTAGGTATTGGATTTTTCATTTGCCAAAAGTTTTATATTGATACAATCTGTCTTATGAATTGTGTTTTGAGTGCTCAAAAATCAATTAACAATATTTTAATGTTCCACACCTTTTTAATGAAATAATACCACACATGGGTTGAAGAATTCCTGGCCTAAAAGTGGCTTCATTCTTTTTTTATAACTTTTTTTTATACTTTATTGTCGAAAGATGAACATCTCGTAGACAAAGCAATTATACATAGTTATAGAAACCAAAAGAAAAGAGTCAGTTGTAAACAACACTTATAAAGTTTTTTAAATATAGGTTGAGAAATACAGTCAGGAGTATTGATTCTGCTATTGTTTTACTCACGAAGAGTATTCAACAAGAACCCCAAGAATTCGGAACAATCCTCTTGTTGTCCTAACGAGTATCTACTAGACTTCAAAGACTCCAGGAAATCGGTTGGAGGGAAAGATGATACATTCTTACGAAACTGCAGCTGCATGAACAGATGTTTGAGTTTGGTGAATAAGTAGGAAACATTCTCCTCCTCGTTCATCGTTAAACTCTTGTTCTTGAAATTCTTCGTCATGAACAACACTTGCAAAATGCTATTCATGTAGCAAGTGTTTCCTAAATTATCTAATCCAATTTTCTTCTCAAGATGTTCAGGACAACTCTCTACATCAGTAGAGTAAGGAAGATCATGTTTCACAGAGTCTGCATAAAAACCATTTCTCAAGCTGCAATCGATCCTTCCAAGTGATGAAGGGTTTCGTAGAGGGACCGATTCGGCTGTTGCTTCATGAAGCTCTTTCACTGAAAGGGAACCAGAATCACGAGGACTGCAACTCATGTTTGGGGGGCAAGAATGACCTAAGTCCATTGACTGAAAGAGAAAAAGGTGGATCAATCACTAGCGAATTAACCTTGATAGGAGACTGATGAATATCTACATATCTCGGCTTGTTTCGAAAATATTTTTGTTTCGTACTGAACTGGGGGCAATGCATGATCAGAAATGAACCTAAGCACCTATGAATATTGTTTACTATAAAACTGAAATGTTCAGGTTGAATTGAAATACTTTTGAATTAATATTGACCCTCCCTCCACCAGTACATCCTTAATAATTTGTCCTCCGATTTCAAGGGAGTGAAAATCCCTAGAAACCAAGAATGATAATTGTGATCTATGTAACATTGCCTGCGTTAATTTTTTTGTTGAAATACCGCAACCACAATTATAAGACAAGTAATTGTTTGTTTCCTTTCTCATGTCTTGTAGGAAGAGAGATAAAGAGGCACCTAAGTTATTAATCAAAGAAATATTATATAAAATACAGTTCATATGTTTTCACGGAACAACAATCGTTTCGATCTATTCGAAATTTTGTTAGATAATGAGTAGGAGCTTTTGTTTTGGTTTCAAAGTAAACCAGAATTTAGCTGCTGCTGCTGGTTTTTTATTGATATCGCATATAAAGTTAACAACTTTTATATACTACGAATAAAATTGTAAAATAATTTGTGCTGGATGTAGAAGAGTTGGCAGCACTGCTGAAACACATTTACTTTCCAGAAAAAGGAGAATTATATTGTTCTGTTCACAGCTGATGCTTTGTTTACTGTCAACCTAACCTTACTTTCTGGTTTCCAGTACATGTGCTCATTAAAATGCCTAACCGCGGTTCTAAGAACTCTGTTGACAGTTTTTGTTATATTTGTGGTGAGTTTGTTATTAAAAACATCAAAAAGAAGTATAAACCAATTCCATCTGACTAGTGAAACCTACATTACAGCACTGTATCATTATTTCAAGTAACCTACTGTGAATAAAATCCATGATTGTGATTCAACATAGTGTTTCATTGATTTCACCATATACCCAGGGCTGTCGCCATGGGGGATGGGGGGTGCCTCCCCCCTGCTTTTTCGACTTGGGAAAAAGTTGGGAAATTTTTGTCCGTGAAGATAGAAAAAAATTATAGTAAAGAGATGAATAAAAATGATAGAAAAGAAAGAGAGAGGTAATAAGAAAAGGGAAATA